TTGCTTGAATTGCTATCGATCCCCATAATTTTAAGGAAGATTTATTTTTTGACAAAATTTTTCATTTTTTGTAAGGGGGTAGCTCGGTTTTTTTTGGGATTCAGATTTTGGTCAAAAATTCTCAATTTTTAGTGGTTTTTCCATCGTAGTTCAGTCAAATCAAGGCGTACAGCAAAAAAAACCGACTGTTTTGAGCAGCTTGCTTCAATTGCTATCGATCCCTATCATTTTAAGGAAGATTTATTTTTTGAGAAATTTTTTCATTTTTTGTAAGGGGGTACATCGGTTTTTTTTGGGATTCAGATTTTGGTCAAAAGTGCTATTTTTCGTCGTTTTTCATAGGGGAATATTAAATAGATCAATAGATCAAACTAGAATCGGTTGAGGTTTAGTACTGTTGTGATTTCAAAGCCTGGGTAGAAATGGGGAAGGATAATAGTACTTTACTGATCGGAAGTCCGACAATTCCTTAGCAACCCCTCTCCATTTCGCATACATCCTAGAAATAGATATTGATATAGATTTGTAGATGTACAAAGCGTAAAGACCGTTTACTAAATACTGTGTTATTTCCCATTTCCTATCCCCCGTCAAACCTACCTCGCCCCCATCCAGGTATCTCGGCTGGTGATCCTGCACGAGGAAGCCGAGGATGGCAACGCGATGCCGGATCTCAGCCGACCGGTGCAGGTGGTGTCGGCGGCGGTGGCCAATCTGGTGAAGGTGGGCCGCGAGACGATCAACAGCTCCGACGACAAGATCCTGCGCCAGGACATGCCCTCGGCATTGCACCGCGTGGAGGGTGCCTCGCAGCTGCTGGAGGAGGCGTCCGATATGCTCCGCTCCGACCCGTACTCGGGTCCGGCGCGCAAGAAGCTAATCGAGGGGAGCCGCGGCATCCTGCAGGGCACCTCCTCGCTGCTGCTCTGCTTCGACGAGAGCGAGGTGCGCAAGATCATCCAGGAGTGCAAGCGGGTGCTGGACTACCTTGCCGTCGCTGAGGTTATCAACACGATGGAGCAGCTGGTGCAGTTCCTCAAGGACCTGTCGCCCTGCCTGAGCAAGGTGCACCGGGAGGTGGGCGGCCGCGAGAAGGAGCTGACCCATCAGGTGCACAGCGAGATCCTGGTGCGCTGCCTGGAGCAAGTGAAGACCCTGGCCCCCATCCTCATCTGCAGCATGAAGGTGTACATTCATATTGTGGAGCAGCAGGGTCGCGGTGCCGAGGAGGCCGCCGAGAACAGGAACTACCTGGCGGCCAGGATGAGCGATGAGCTGCAGGAGATCATCCGCGTGCTGCAGCTGACCACCTACGACGAGGACACCAGCGAGCTGGACAATCTTACCGTGCTGAAGAAGCTCTCCAATGCGATCTCCAACAAAATGGAGCTGGCCAACGAGTGGCTATCGAATCCCTATGCCCTGCGCGGCGGCGTCGGCGAGAAGGCTCTACGCCAGGTCATCGACAATGCCACGGAGATTTCGGAGCGCTGTCTGCCGCAGGACTCGTACCCCATCCGCAAGCTGGCGGATGAGGTGACGGCCATGGCCAACACGCTGTGCGAACTGCGTCAGGACGGAAAGGGCCAGAGCCCCCAGGCGGAGTCCCTGGCCAGAGGCATTCGCGATCGGCTGGGCGAGCTCCAGTCGCTGGTCCACCAGGCGGTGCTCGGCGTGGACAAGGCCGGCGTCCAGCAGACGGCCCACACCATCCAGGGTCGTCTGGAGCAGGCGGTCAAGTGGTTGCAGCACCCGGAGATCAACGACGGCGGCCTGGGCGAGCGGGCCATCAACCTGATCGTGGAGGAGGGCCGCAAGGTGGCCGAGGGCTGTCCCGGCCACCAGAAGGCCGAGATCCAGCAGCTGTGCGACGAGGTGGAGCGCCTCAAGCGACAGGCAGCCGGCTCCGGACCGGCGGCCAAGCAGGCGGCCAAGCAGCTCACCCAGAAGCTCTACGAGCTGAAGGCGGCCATCCAGAATGCCCTGGTCAATCGCATTGTGCAGGACTTCATGGACGTGAGCACGCCGCTGAAGCAATTCACAGAGGCGGTTCTCCAGCCGGAGGGAACCCCGGGCAGGGAGCAGAACTTCAACCAGAAGTCCAACAACCTGCAGGCCTTCAGCGATCGCGCCTCGAAGACCTCGCGGATGGTGGCCGCCGGCGGAGCCTGTGGCAACAAGAAGATCGCCGAGATCCTACTCTCCTCCGCCGCCCAGGTGGACTCGCTGACCCCACAGCTCATTAGCGCCGGCCGCATCCGGATGAACTACCCGGGCAGCAAGGCGGCCGATGAGCATCTGCAGAACCTCAAGCAACAGTATGCGGACACCGTGCTCCGCATGCGAACCCTCTGCGACCAGGCCACCGATCCGGCTGACTTCATTAAGACCTCTGAGGAGCATATGCAAGTGTATGCAAAGCTCTGCGAGGACGCCATCCATGCCCGCCAGCCGCAGAAGATGGTGGACAACACCTCAAACATTGCCCGGCTGATCAACCGTGTCCTGCTGGTGGCCAAGCAGGAGGCGGACAACTCTGAGGATCCCGTGTTCACGGAGCGCCTGAATGCCGCCGCCAATCGGCTGGAACGCTCGCTGCCCGCCATGGTGGGCGATGCCAAGCTGGTGGCCACCAACATAGCCGATCCGGCGGCAGCGGCCGCTTGGAAGAACTCCTTCCAGCGGCTCCTGGGCGATGTGCGCGAGGTGCGGGATGCTATTGCGCCGCCGCAGCCGCCGCCGCTGCCCACCTCCCTGCCGCCACCCATTCCGGAGCTAAGCGCCTTGCATCTATCCAACCAAAATGGTGGGTATCCAGTCTATGGCTTTGCCATCTACTCCCTTTCAAACAATTTATTCCTTATTTTCCAGCTGAGCGTGCTCCACCGCGTCCACCACTGCCCAGGGAGGGATTGGCGCCAGTGCGTCCGCCACCGCCGGAAACGGATGACGAGGACGAGGGCGTCTTCCGTACGATGCCGCATGCCAATCAGCCCATCCTGGTCAGCTTTTACTCCAGCCATGTGCGATTTTTAAGGTGTACTGACTGAAACCCTTTTCTCCCTTCCAGATCGCCGCCCGTGGCCTGCACCAGGAGGTGCGCCAGTGGTCGTCCAAGGACAACGAGATCATTGCGGCCGCCAAGCGCATGGCCATACTGATGGCCCGCCTCAGCGAGCTGGTGCTCTCCGACTCGCGGGGCAGCAAGCGGGAGCTGATCGCCACCGCCAAAAAGATCGCCGAGGCCTCCGAGGATGTGACCCGTCTGGCCAAGGAGCTGGCCCGCCAGTGCACCGATCGCCGCATCCGCACCAATCTGCTGCAGGTGTGCGAGCGCATCCCCACCATCGGCACCCAGCTTAAGATCCTGTCCACCGTGAAGGCCACCATGCTGGGCGCCCAGGGATCCGACGAGGATCGCGAGGCGACCGAGATGCTGGTGGGCAATGCCCAGAACCTCATGCAGAGCGTAAGTCCCAAGAATTTTTAATTTGGTTACATGTAATTGCCATAAGGACTGTTTCCTCGAGTGACAAACACTTTTTTGCTATCTGCCCGAGTGTAGTGATCAAATGTTTTTTTTCTTATTCTGCTCCCTTACCATCACTAAATTCCATCTCTTTCCATTTCGGTTTCCAGGTGAAGGAGACGGTGCGCGCTGCCGAGGGAGCCAGCATCAAGATCCGGTCGGATCAGACAAGCAATCGGCTGCAGTGGGTGCGTCGGCAGCCGTGGTATCAGTACTAGATGACATGGGAGTACCGTACCGTAGAGTGCTAGAGCCAGGTACCATCCTGATCAAACGCCACCTGCCACCTGCCACGTGCCTTGTGTAACATACAAAGCTAAACACTAATCTTAATGATTTCTATCTTAAATGTTAATCCCCTAATATGTTCCATCTGAAATTCAGTTATATAAGTGCCTGCAACTATTTATTATGTCCTCGAAAAACTTGTGCTCATGTCCTCCCCCCCTTTTCCCTCTTCCCTTTTTTCGATAATTGTAAAATTAATTATTAAGCGTGCAATAAAAAGCGAAAACCATGAAAAAAAGAAATGGAAAGGAAAGCAATATGTAGATACAAGCAGTCAGATTTAAGCGAATGCAATGTATATAATAAGTGAACATATGCAGTGTGGGCTAACGTTTGCCCTTCAAAGAACTTTAAATCGTCACCCGCCTCCTTTGTATTTGTAGTGTACTAACAGAAGCATTTATCGAACCCTTCCCCTAATCTCTAGAGTGCAGTTTTTGTTTGAAATCTAACTCACTAAAACAGCAAACGGAATACATAGTACATCTGCTGACGCAAGTGTTAAGCGCAAACGTGTAATCCGAAAACGATGTGTGTCATGTTCAATACAAATATAATTGAAATAAAACTGAATCTCGAGTCTTAATTAATTAACTGGTGGTTGTGTTACTTATGCATTACACAAAATGTTTCCTAACAGTTTTCCCTTATCACGTTTGCGTATACGTAATCCACTTACGTTGCGCCCGAAAGCATGCTATACTTTTTCCTTTTTAATAATCCTCTTCGCCACATTGCGTATACGTCAAGTGGGCTTAAAGCAAGTGATTGTGTGCTTCTAGGCGTACGTGCTAAATAGTATTACGTCTAAGCTAATGACATTGGTGTACGTTAAGTATACGCAAAGTGGCTTATAATTAAGTAACAAATAAAAGAATGTTATTGTTTTATTGGTTTCAAAACCATTAATGATTACACATTGAAATGATGATAGTAAAATTATATTTGGCACCAGAAAACTTTACCACCCATAGGCTTTAGTGGGTTAACTAAATACAATGCCTAATAAAAGGCTTGTGTTTATACCTCGACGGCCGCATATCCGCCAGCTGTGCCTGTCCAGCGAGCAGTCGGGAAATCCGAGAGCCACCCCGGACTATAATTAGCTGTCCCTCTGAGAAAAGCGAGAAAACTCGCGCGATCAGAGAGTTTCCGCAGTGCCGGCGATCAGTAGCGTTTCGATTATCGGCGGGATCGAGGGAGAGAGTTGCTTTTACAACGGTCGATATGTCCAACGGTACACCTGTTAACCCGGAGGAAGGGTCGAAGTCCTCCTCCAATCAAATGGCCATCAGTGCCTCCACGCAGGAGCTGGCCGAGCTGATAGACCTTCACCTGGGCGAGCTGCGACCCAAGGAGCCCTCCTGGCGGGTGGCCGACTCACCGATTTCCGGACGGGGCATCTTTGCCACCCGGGAAATAGCTCCCGGCGAGGAGCTCTTCCGGGAGCGCACGTTGCTGGTGGGTCCCACGGCCCATCGGTCCACGAATCTGCGCACCTGCACCATTTGCTACCGCTTGATTCCCGGCTCCTCGGACTCCGAGGCCCTCTGCCCGGCGGGATGTGGCCTGCCGGCTTGCTCCGAGTGTCGGGACTCCTCGCGTCATGCGCTGGAGTGCAAGCTCTTCCGGAAATGGAAGCCGCTGGAGAGCCAGCGCATCGAGCCGCGCGCCTTGCGAATCCTCAGTGTGGTGCGTTGCTTCTTCCTGGACGAGGCTGGCCGGAAGCTGCTGTACGCCATGCAGGCCAACATGGACCGGTACTACATGCAGGAGGTCCAGCGGGCCGCCGACTGCTTCGAGCACTTCCCGCGGGAGCAGGACATGCTGGACTTCTTCTACCGCACAATCTGCGCCTTCAACACCAACGCCTTCGAGAGCCGGAGCAGCGTGGAGGGCCACGAGGTCCTGGTGCGGGCTCTGTTTCCCCTGGCCGGACTCCTCAACCATCAGTGCACCCCGAATGCGGCACACCACTTCGAGAACGGGGAAACCATCGTGGTCTGCGCCACCGAACGGATCCCGGCCGGCGGCGAGATCACCATGACCTACGCCAAGCTGCTCTGGTCCACGTTGGCCAGGAAGATATTTCTCGGGATGACCAAGCACTTCATGTGCAGGTGCGTCCGCTGCCAGGATCCCACGGTGAGTTGGCTGATTGGCTGATGGCCTGATTTGGATGGGGCACTGCATCCCAAATGGGCATTGGGCAAATGGGAGCGCGAGTGTCGCAATCGCTGAAAAGTGCCACCAAAATAGCTTCATCGGTTGGGCTGTATAAAATGCCATCGCAGGGGCATACGCATTGGGGGTTTTTGGCGCAGTAAATGGAGGTTCCTATTTTTCTTAAATTGCTTACCATAACAAATGTAGCAACATCTTTCCATTCAAAACCAATCCAATTTATGGGTGTTTATCTATTTTCCGTAAAAGCTATATTATCTAAAAAAACAGGTACTAACTAATTATAGATTAATTCAAAAGTTATAAGATTTAATATCTGAAATATCTTTATTTGAGTGCCACTGAGTGATAAACTAAATACCTCGGGAACTTAAGTATTTACTGCTAAAAATATACCCCCTTATAAGACGCCCATGAAATTAGGCCAGGGCACAGCAAGTGTGATCGCGAGAGATATACGACGAGAAATAAAGCAACGCGCCTGTATGAATGATTTGGAAAGGCCAGCTGGCCGAGTGCCTCAACAAATCAAGATGCTTAACTAGATGATTAGATGATCCCCAAAAAATGACCGGTCACGTAGTGAGTACCCTATTTATTCTCAAGAAAAGCTCACAGACGAGTAATCGGGATATCTTATTTCTGGGAGAGACACATGTAAATAAATGCATGACACCACATAAAAATACCTATGAAGTTTTCCATCTTTTCTGAAACTGCGAATGCCCACTGCACTGCGGGTGAAATAACCATCTCAACAATTTGCCCATAATACAGTAACCGTAATCTTTACTGTCTGTCTGATACGTTTCGGGCAGTCTGCCAATATTCTCATAGCGGAGGCGCCACAACTAGTTCAAGTACCCACACACAACACCACATTCCATTACTCATTTATTCGAATTCGGGCACAGTCAAAGATCGCATATCCCGTCAAAACAACCTCCTTCCACATTCCTCCTTTTTTTCAACACCCCTTTGACCCAGTCGCACGTCAATCCACCAAAACGTTTGTTTTCCCTTTTATTTTGCTTTCCCTCGCTTTGTGTGCCTTTATATTTAAAATTTGCGCACAAATTCTTTAGAACTAAAACGGAAAGCCCAGAAAACGGCCCGACAATGGGGAATCATTTCAAATTTTTCGAGTATTTCGGGTGGCATACCCTTTCTGCTTTCAGGGAGTTGCACTTTTCATCGAGCTCTGCCTAAGGTACAATTACAGGTTTGGTTTTAGTTGTGGATCCATGCTAAAAAACGTTAAAAAAAGCCCACCAACAAATCGGTGTTTTCCCCAAAGGCACGGGAAAAATTATCAAAATATTGAATGTCACACCTCATTTGCCCGTCAAACAAATTGTAAAATTGCAAGATTTCTTAATTTTAGACACCAGGCGAACATAAACATTCAGCAGGTGTGAAAACGATCAGCTGATTAGTCAAATCTAAGCATATTTAGAGATGCCCTAGTGACTGCTTCCTTTTGTCACGGCCCAAGCAAATACATAGGACTAAACAGTTATTTCTTGCATATCGTGACAAGCTCGCGACAAAATCGTGACGAACTCGTGAAACGGCCATAGCTGCTCATCTCTTGTCTGCTCTTGGTTCTCAAGTAACGGTTGTTATTTAAGGAGAACGATTTCTATTGGTTGGTGGAGGGAGGGGAAATATTGTAAGGGCAGCCATTTTGAAAAATATAAGTTGACTTAAAGTTACCAGCTGTCACTTGCTAAGTTTTATGTTTGCCTGGTGTCTGAGACGAAACATCTAGCTCTTTGACGAGCTCTCTTCGCTCTAAATTGTCTTCTGGCAGATGAAACTTGGTAGGTTTCTTAATTTCAAACACCAGGCGAACATAAACGTTTAGCAGGTGGAGAATCGATCAGCTGATTAGTTTAATCTAACCTTCATTAGAGATGCCCTCGTGACTGTTCCCCTTTGTCACGGCCTAAGCAAGTACATAGGACTTAACAGTTACTTCTTGCATATCGTGACAAGCTCGTGACAAACTCGTGACAAGCACGTGATACGGCCATGGCTGCTCATCTCCAGTCTGCTCTTGGCTCTCAAGTAACAGTTGTTTTTAAGCAGAAGGATTTCTATTGGTTTGTGGAGGGAGGGGAAATATGGTAAGGGCAGCCATTTTGAAAAATAACGGTTTTATAAGTTAATTCATAGTTACCAGCTGTCACTTGCTAAGCTTTCTGTTTGCCTAATGTCTTGGACGACAAATTGTCTTCTGGCAGATGAAATTTGGTAGGTTTCTTAATTTCAAACACCAGGCGAACATAAACGTTTAGCAGGTGGAGAATCGATCAGCTGATTAGTTTAATCTGACCTTCATTAGAGATGCCCTCGTGACTGTTCCCCTTTGTCACGGCCTAAGCAAATACATAGGACTTAAAAGTGATTTCGTGCATATCGTGACAATCTCGCGACAAACTCGTGACAAGATCATGACACGGCCATGGTTGCTCATCTCTAGTCGGTTCTTGGCTCTCAACTAACGGTTGTTTCCAATGGAGATAGATTCCTATTGGTCAAATGGGGAAGGGGAAGTATGGAAAGGGCCGCCATTTTGAAAATGAACAGTTATTTAAGTTTAGTTTTAGCAACCAGCTGTCACCTGCTAAGTTTTCTGTTTGCCTGGTGTCTGAGAGCCATAAACCCAGTATTTTGAAAGAAAAAATGTTGCGAGGCACCAGGCGAACAGGAAAACATAGGTGGCCAACGATCAATTTTCAAGCAAAGAAAAATAGGTAATCTCTGCAATTAATTTCAGAGGATACTGGAAAATGTTGTAAAAATATGCAAAATATATTTGTTTAGCCTTCTTTTGGACTCGCCTAAGCCAGTTTCCAATATACGAAATTTATCGATTCAAACGATTTCAGTCTCCTTAGCTATATCACACATTTAAATAGGGGGACAACCGCACAAAAACGTGTTATACATAAATAAAAAATTACAAATTATAAAAAAACAAAATAAAATATAAATAAAATATAAAACTAAAGTAGGCAAAACCGCAAATTATCCATTAATCAATTGACATTCGAATGCTTACCTCAAAGTGCTTACTAAAGGGTATTTCCCCTGCGATCTATTATTGATATCATTCAACGTTTCAATTTGTTTTTTACGCTTTTTGATATTGGCATTCAAGTGTGTTCATTCCGTTCGTTTTGCCTTCCGTTCGATTGGACCAATAAGACGGGCGTAAAGAGCGAAAATAGATTTGGAATGTAGGCAAACTATATAGTGGCTTGATGGCGCGTGGAAGGGAAACGAGAAAACGAGAGTCGTAAAAGTTTCCCACTGATTTACGTATGTCCGCAGCGGAAGGGGCGTGGCCCGAGGAGCCCACTCCGCTCCAGGACATGTGACAATGCGTGACAGTCGCGGTGGAAAGTGAACAGGTGGGGCAGCTGGGAGTGGAGCCACACTGGAGCCCCACTCCTGGTCCCCATCTCCCATCTCCCATCCCCGTTCCCATTCCCACCTGGTCACGTGTCATGGCGCTCACCTCGTTTGCTGCGCTCCATTTGTCCCTGAAACATGCAACTCCTTGGCCAGCGATGTCTTAATTTATGTCCCGGCCACACGCACCGCCGTTTACGGTGGAAACCGTGGAAAGTGGGCTACACTGCCCCCAAAATATGCCAAGTCCGGAGTATTATATCTTGCAAAAATATTTAAGTGAAATCTTTCTTATCTCCCCTATACGCTGCTATGATTATCATAACCATTATCATTACAATACCATATCATTCTAATTATCCACCATCTAAAATGTTCCTAAAATTCTGTACTCATGTTTAAGTAAATCTTGATGCGACTTGTAGATTATTAAAGATAGGATCATAGAAGTTATGGAACAGATAGTACTTAAAGAATTTAAACATCACTCTCCAGGAGATTCCTTAGGTTCAGGTTTCAATTCCTAAGCTTCTCCAAGCGCCTTTTTAGTGTATGCAAACATTTTTGGCCAGTGTAGCAGCGTGGGAGACACAAACAGTGGTATCAGAGGCGCTGCATCTCCGCAAATAATTTTTCCAGCTGCTCAGATTGCCGTGCAGGGTGGCGCCGGCAGGAATCGGATGGGGATGGGTTGTGGGTGATGGTTGATGGGTGGTGGGTGGTGGGTGATGGGTGGTGCTCCTATGGCTTCACTTCACTTTATGGCATCCATAACCAACCGCAAGTAATCGGAGGAGGGTGGAAGAGGTGGCAGCCACACCGAGGTGTTTGGCGAACAAATTGACAGCGGGAAATGTTCTTTGATGGCTGCATCAATGCCTTTTCTTTTCACCCCCTTTATCCACCCCCTTTGGCGAATCCAATTGAATGCAACAACAGCGGCCACAACAACAATAATAACAACAACAACAGCTCAAGCACAAATTGAATAAGAGTCAAAAGCAAAATCCGCTTTGCGTCGTCCCAGCCAAATGTCTCTATTTCCCAGTAGCGCACCAAGTAGCTCCAAGTTCCCGGTTTCAAAATCGTTTCGAAAATTCTCGCTTTCCGCCCAAAAAGAAATCTGAATTTTGGCTGAAGCAATGCAAAAAATGGTCAAAATATGGAAATCCATACCTTGTTGGATTCGTAATAAAATTCCAAGCCGATAACCATTTAAATTTAAGAAGGCTAAAAAGGGTTTTCGAAATTATATAGAATGTGACTCCTATACATTTTCTTTAGGTCTTTAGCTATCCATAACAGTGCATATTTTGTGTTTGGGATCATTTTCAATCATGTTAAAGCAAAAAAAAAAACCTAAAAACTTTCGACTTTTCATCAAAAACATGATTTTGCACTAAAAAAGATTAGTATTTTAGTCGAAACAATAAAATTAACGGGGGATCTTTTTAGCCAATTAAGAGCACAAATGTTTTTCGAAAATATATATTTTATGTTATCATATAGCTCTAGTTTCCAAGTTTTATGATTTTTGTATTACCAAAATATATGAGAGAGAAATATAGTTTTTGAATCCGTAAGTGGGAACAGGGCGGCGAGTGTGTGTTTTCAGTGTGCGTGTGCCTTGGAAAAAATCATATTTGACTGTTGTCGCTGTCGTTGTTGTCCCCTCGCCCTGCCCCCCTTCCCATTACCCTCCCCTTTCCCCCTTCCCCCTTTCCCCCTCCCCCTGGTGGATGCCTCTAATTTGTGTTTTTTTAGTTGTGTCTAATGCTCTCCGAGGGCGTCGGCGTGTCCACGTCATAAGCGTCGCTGCTCTGGCGGCTTGCTTCCACTGTCAGCAGTCAGTTGTTGCTGTTGTGCTGGGTGTTGCTGTTGTGCTTGGTGTTGCTGCTGCTGCTGCTGCTGTTGCTGTTGCTGCTGTTGCTGCTGCTGCTGTTGCTGCTGCTCATGTTGCTGCTGTCGTCGCTGTCGCCATATCGCTGCTATTCCCGCATAGACCGCTCAGCTGCGCGGAGACATCTTCACTCGCTGAATTGCCGCGCGTCGCGTTGGTTCGCCGCAGTTCCGTCCGTCCTCCGTCCTACGTCGCGATGTTGTCCACTCTGCCCCAGTCCCCTCGAGCAGGGGGAGGCGGAGCAGGGGGAGGAGACACCACCCTGGCCGCCCTAGGCGCCCACATGGCCCCCTGTCGCGACACCACCCCCGAGCAGCTGGCCCAGCTGATAGACGCCCACCTGGGGGATCTGCGCCAGGAGCAGCCCAACTGGACCATCAGCTCCTCGAAGGTGGCCGGTCGCGGAGTGTTTGCCACCAGGGACATAGCCGCCGGCGAGCTCATCTTCCAGGAACGGGCCCTGGTCACGGGACCAACGGCCAGGAAGGGCCAACTGAGCAGCTGCATCTGCTGCCACCAGACCTTGCCGCAGACAGGATTCCTCTGCCGGCATCGCTGCACCCTGCCCGTTTGTGAATCCTGCTCGGACTCCGAGGTGCACCAAGCGGAGTGCGAGCACTTTCGTCGCTGGCAGCCCAAGGATGCGGATGCGGCGGAGGAGCAGGTGAATCCACTGTCCCTGCGGATCCTCACCGCCGTGAGAGTCTTCCACCTGGGCAAGGAGCAGCGTCATCTGGTGGACGCCATGCAGGCGAATGCGGAACGGGCCTACAGGCGGGAGATCATCAAGGCGGCCCAGTGCTTCCGCAACTTTCCCACCACGGATCGCGGTTTCATGGACCAGCTGTTCCGGATCGTGGGTGTCCTCAATACGAACGCCTTCGAGGCGCCCTGCCGCTCCGGCGGCCACGAGACGCTGCTGAGGGGTCTGTTCCCGCTGACGGCGATCATGAACCACGAGTGCACCCCGAACGCCAGCCACTACTTCGAGGACGGGCGACTGGCGGTGGTGCGGGCTGCCCGGGACATTCCCAAGGGCGGCGAGATCACCACCACCTACACCAAGATCCTCTGGGGCAACCTCACGAGGAACATCTTCCTTAAGATGACCAAGCACTTTGCCTGCGACTGCGCCCGCTGCCACGACAATACAGTGAGTAGGAACTTGTATTCCTATGGGGATTCTAATGGAATGCTTTCTTCGGAATGCTTCCTTTGGAATGCTTTCTCGCTTTTGCCAAGCCTTGAGCTATTAATATTGGAAAAGAGATCCTTTCAACCTTTATCATACTACCATTTGATATCAACACCAACACTTGTCTTGTGCCAGATATCCAGAGCTCACTTGATATTTATTAATATCTTTACTTTGACCTCAATTATTGCAGTAATTTATAACTTTCCCTAGATTAAAGCTGTTTGCCGATGTTTGCAGCAAGAGCTTTGGTGGGATCTGCATTTTAAATTCTAATTTTACTGCAGTAAACATTAGTAAGAGCTTTTAATGGATAAAATTATACATTTTGGCTGAACACTTAATAATACAACTAAATTCCCAGGTAGTCAATTTTAGGAAAAGTTTTATTGGAGTCTTTATAGCAAAGTTTAACCTCAAATATACATATTTTTTTTAAATTTTATTTTAAAGATTCTTCTCTTCTTTTGTAGTTTAAAGTGTGTGTTTCTTTCCAGGATTATTCAAGGTCTTTTACTATGAACCCATTTAATACGAAATTAGGAAAACTTTTTACTCTTAGTAATGACCAAGCCAAAAAAAAAGAAAAGCAATCTGTCGGCCTCAAAACAAAAAGCAATTATTGAAATTTGAAAAACATTTCACTTGAATTTCGAGGAAATTTTCTTGGCCAACGTCGATGTCAACGAGGTTCGCTCAGACCACGGGTGTGTAGGGTTGTGGGGGAATGGGAATGGGAATGGGTGTATATGCACGATCCACATATCCGGCCACATCTATTTATGTGGCCGCTCTTCTGCCGCTCTGGGATGAGTTGAATAATGGCCTCTGGCGTTGGCAGTGGCCGCTGGCCAGGCCACCTGACACAAATGCGTTCCCTAATTAAATTAGTTCTATGATTCGCATCTGCCGGGGCCCAGGGGCGCACACAGGCTGCCCTGGAGGGGGCACTAAGTGGCTCAAAGAGGGGGCGCCATATGGCTCACTCTTTTGGTCCTTAAAACGTTTATTAGGGCTCTCTGATGGATTTTGTAATATAATTACTTGTACTATGAAAAACGTATGAGGTACACATGTGCAAGGTGAATGGAAAACATAAACAATATGTTTTGCGGAGGTGTACTTCCTTACAACTCAGATTTCTGTTGATTCTTAAAAATAATAAATAGTACTTTATATATTTCCTTTATACTTTTGTTTTTTCTCCACTATTGTATCATAAATACTTGGCTTAAAAAATATTCCATGGATCATTTTAACTTTTAAGATCTCTCAGATCAGCAGTACGTTGATCCGTTTTTAATGTGGGGCAACCAAAGTTCCCCGGCTACTAACACACACACACCCCCGAATTTCCATGAGCATGACACACCAAATGCAAATTTTGCTTTCGATTCCGATTCAAAGGGGAATGAACTGAACGCCGTGAATGGACAGAGGCGGACATTGATCTTTGAGACGCTCCTCCACCCTCGCCACATACACTTCTCCAAAATTCAACCCACTAACTCACTAATCCACCGATCCACTGACCATTATCTTGTTGCAGGAGAACGGAACCTACTTGTCGGCACTCTTTTGCCGGGAGCAGGGCTGCCGTGGCCTGGTGATTCCCGTCCAGACCAAGACTTTGCAACCGGACTGGCGGTGCATCACCTGCGAGAACGTGTTCCCCCACTCGAAGATGGCCAAGTACCAGGACTTCGCCCTGAACACCATCAACAACAGGATCAACTCGTGCAGTGTCCGGGACATGATCCACTTCATCAACGAGCTGTGTCCGCGCTTCTGTCCCTCCTCGAACTACGTGCTCATCGAGGCCAAGCTGAACGTTATCTGGCGGATGACGCGGTTCGACCGGGAGGAGTACACCCCCGAGGAGATGGGCCACATGGATCGGTATCGGGAGGAGGTCCTGGCCATACTCCACAAGTTGGGCGCCGGCGAGTGCACCCTGAAGAAGCTTATCACCGGGGAGATTCAGTGATCCAGTGAGCTCCCGAACTTGTGAATAATGTTTTTTTTTGTCATTCATGTGTGCGTGAGCGAGTGTTTTTGTGAATGAATGAGTATCTTTTGGGCTCGCCCTTTGTTGCTATTTTATTTGTAGTCACTTAAGGAAACCAATAAACACCGGACTATGTCTCTTTATCAAATTGATATTTGTTTTATTAAACCCCTTTTGGGAACACCTCTGTCCCCTTAGGCAATAAATATGAAGAGCCAACCAGCCACAAAGATCGCCGGCCTGCGATTGACCAACAAGATGAAAATTGCCACGATACAAATTCTGAAGAGTGTCATTATTCTGGGCTCTCGTTCTTTTTTATTTTGACATTATTTTGGCAGCCATTATTTTATCAACAATCGCCTGTCGAGAGGGACTTAACATTATCTAGATACCAAACGATGAACCTATGCGAATCGAGGGAGAAAAATACATTTATGAAATCTCTAACGAGTATATAGTCAACTGGCATTTAAGCCTTGAAATGTTAATTTTAAGACAATTTTCGCATAAAAAAAAACATCCAAGTGCATTTCAAACTTTATTGTACCTTCAGATAAATGCATTACCGACTCACAATCAAATTGAAATATCAATTAGCTGTAATCATAAATCTAAAGTCCCTCATTTGGCCGTCAAGCAAATTGTCAAAATACCAGATTTCTTAATTTCAGGCACCAGGCGAACATATACAATTAGCAGGTGTGAAAGCGATCAGCTGATTAGTTTAATCTGACCTTCATCAGAGATGCCCTCGTGACTGTTTCCCTTTGTCACGGCCTAAGCAAATACATGGGACTTAACAGTTATTTCTTGCATATCGTGCAAAACTCGTGACAAAATCGTGACAAACTAATGATACAGCTGTGGCTGCTCATCTCTTGCCTGCTCTTGCTTCTCAAGTAACGGTTGTTTTTTAAGAGGAACGATTTCTATTGGTTGGTAGGGGGAGGGGAAATATGGTAAGGGCAGCCATTTTGAAAAATAACGGTTTTATAAGTAAATTCATAGTTACCAGATGTCACTTGCTAAGTTTTCTGTTTGCCTGGTGTCTGGGACGACAAATTGTCTTCTGGCCGATGTAATTTTGTAGGTTTCTTAATTTCAAGCACCAGGCGAACATAAACGATTAGCAGGTGTGAAAACGATCAGCTGATTAGTTTAATCTGACCTTCATCAGAGATGCCCTGGTGACTGTTTCCCTTTGTCACGGCCTAAGCAAATACATGGGACTTAACAGTTATTTCTTGCATATCGTGCCAAACTCGTGACAAAATCGTGACAAACTATTGACACAGCTATGGCTGCTCATCTCTTGCCTGCTCTTGGTTCACAAGTAACGGTTTATCTTTAAGGAGAACGATTTCTATTGGTTGGTGGAGGGAGGGGAAATATGGTGAGGGCAGCCATTTTGAAAAATATAAGTTGACATATAGTTACCAGCTGTCACTTGCTAAGTTTTCTGTTTGCCTGGTGTCTCAAACCTATGATATCCGCACTTTGACTGAAAAAATTTTAAGAGGCCACACATATTAACTTGAAGATTTTTGAAAAATTATGCAAATTATATTTGTTTGTACACATTAATAGGCTGCAGTAGTTCTTGGATCTTATTCTGTTTTATTTTTACATTATTTTGGCAGGCAATACATAATCGTACAACCTCCGGTGACTACAGGATAGTCGTCTTTCCGAATAAATTAATTGCGCAATAGAAATAGAATTATATTGTTGCATACTTTTACAAACCTAAGAAGCCATGTAAAAGTGATTTGAAAAACACAGTGATTTGTGTGGCACTCCCGTACATACCAAACGATAAGCCTCCGCAAAATGAGGGTGAAAAAATACATTTATTAATTATTATTTAAAACTCTTTGCCAAAAATAGTTGATAAAATAAAATATTTTATATATTCTACAGTCTACAAAAAATATCTTCTCTTAACTTACCTCCAAGACCCATACAAAATCTCATTTGAATGTCCCCATGTGGTATTCTAGCTAATCGATTTCAAATAGACTTTTAGTATTTTTTTTGGTTTTTTGTTATTGTAGAAAAGCTTTCTTTAATGGCGTATACACAGACAGACACACGCACACGCATACAGTCATATTAGAATAACATTAATTCCTCTAGTACAATTTGTTTATGGATATATGTACGTACATATAGGTATACATTTGCAATGGAGCTTGTTTATGGGAATGGGTTCAGGGGTCGTGGTTCGTGGGTCGTGTGTAGTTGCCTATACATAAATAATCAGATATGATATGCTTTGGCTGTGGCATACACACATACATACATGTCTGGCCTAGGTCTAGGACTTAATCTAACCAAATGTCGTGTGCATCAGTATATAATATACATATAGTATAGTATATCAGCATATATCTAGATTTATAGTTACCATAGAAAAAAAAAACAAAAAAATTGGAAACAAAAACACGGGGCGGACAATGGATGTGGGTGGACTAACTTAGGGCTAGGTGCTCCGCGTGGTGCTTCTGCCCCGCCTTTTTCTCCTGAAGGCGCTGCAGCGGCGGAATGGCGAACATCACCACGCCACTGATGGCGATCATGAGACCGGCCATCAGGAAGGCCGGCGCATACGAGTCCGTCAGATCGTACATCCAACCTGAAAGAATCAAATGAGCATTGTTATTCCCCGTCCTTGATCCCAAACTCCTTGATCTTGAACCCACCTCCGATGGGCGGACCTATGAAGCTGGCGATGCCCTGGAAGAGCAGCAGCAGGCCGAAGGCATTGGTCAGCTTGTCCAGTCCCAGCAGATCCACCAGGATCACCGAGGTCAGGCCCACATAGGCTCCAATCGTGAAGCCGAAGGCGATGCAGTAGAAGGCCAGGGACTGGTAGTCATGGCACAGCGGCACCATGGCAGTGGCTAATGGAGTGGATGGTTTAGACTATGACAAATAAGTGGGATATCCTAATTTGCAACTCACAAATTCCGCAGGCGGTGAGGCAGACATTGTAGACCAGCAGCCGGTTGACCCACGGCTTGTCCGATATGTAGCCCAGGATGATGCGGCCCACTGTGTTGGCCACTCCGATCGTGGCTATCAGGTAGCTGGCCTCCGTCTTGCTGATGTTCAGGGTCTCCGCGTAGGCGGCCACATAGAGATAGGGCACGTTGAAGCCGATGCTCGTGCAGAAATTGGACACGGAGAAGATCACGAAGATCACGTCCTTCAGCAGGGAGAAGTTCATCATCTCGGCGAAAGTGTCGCGGGTCTCCTTGGAGCACGTAATGCAACCGCAGCACTTGGTCTCCTCCTGCAAGGATGCAAGGGGTTAGCCCAAGTAGTTCCAAGGATCTTAAAATATTAGTATCATAATCATAATGGAAAGGCTTATAAATTCTCGCAAGGCTATAATGCCAAGTAAGTAGGGTAGTAAGTAATGCCCCTAGGGTGATATAGAAAATCAAAGCTCTAAGCCCAAGTAACTCCAAATTTCTTACCTTTTTAATCAGTATTGGAAGAATTATAAATTATTTTAGGCCTAATTAAAGCAACGTTACATAAAACACGTGACGAAAGCCCCTTAGGGTCACCCCAATGTAAGTTTCGGCATAGGTCAGGTGGTTCAGTATCAACTGTTCTATCACCATGACTTGAAATAAACATGAAAAACCATGGAAATGTATGGTAATGACGGCTCATGTTAATCAAATTGTGTCTTCAATGAATATGCGCGGACTGGCGCAGTTCGTTCGCTTAAGCGGATCGACCCACAAAGCCAGCTTGCAGTGCATTGTGTGCTCTGGTCCGTGGATAACCAGAGGAAATGGAGGAGTTCTTCGAGGACAGCGAGATATTCGTGACGGGCGGATCGGGAGTGGTGGGCAAGGCGCTGATCGAGAAGCTCCTGCGCTCCTGCAATGTCCGCCGCATCTACGTCCTACTGCGTCCTCGCAGGCAGCTTTCTGCCCAGGAGAGACTCCTCCGCCTGCGCCAGGCGACGGTCTTCCATGTGCTGGCCGTCGAGAAGCCACAGGAGCTGGATAAAATAGTGGCGGTGCCGGGGGATGTCTCACTCCCCGGACTAGGCATCGATCCATCGATGGTGGAGCGCATGAGGGGCGTTTCCCTAGTTTACCACTGTGCCGCCACGGTGCGTTTCGATGAGCCACTCCGCGTGGCACTCCGCTTGAATGTCGGCGGCACCTTGGAGGCGCTCAAGTTTGCCGAGAACCTGCCCCAATTGCGGGCCTTCGTCCATGTGTCCACCTTCTACAGCAATCCATATCTGAAGCGGGTGGAGCCCAAGGTGGGTGGGTTGAGTTGGTTGGTCTGGGGACTTACTCCTTGTGACTCTTCTAGTCTGATCCTTGCAGTACTACTCATCGCCGATGGACTGGCGATTGTGCCTGCGACTAATCGACGAAGTTACAGACGACCGGATGCTCAACGCGCTCACAAGAAAGTAAGTGGGATTCGGAAAATTCTAGATCTACTTTTATCTATCCTCGATAAAGACCCATAATACAAAGTAATCTAAAATGTGGGAAGAATTACCTAAAATTAAGAACTAAACCTACCCAGTATATATATGTTAGAAACACTTTATAGCCTTTGTTCCAAAGATATATATAGTGAGGGGTCTTTTATGAAACCCAATCATGGGTAATTTTTTGTTGGTTCATTTTGATTTCTGACTGTTCTTTTAAATAGATCTCTTATGCTCTATCCTTTTGTTATGACAGGTTAATCGTGGGCTTCCCCAACACGTATACTTTTACCAAGAACCTGGCTGAATCCCTGGTAAATGACTTCCGCCATCGCTTGCCGCTGATAGTGTACCGACCGTCCATAGGTAATCAGGGATGCCCAAAATGTAACTCATATCCGGGACTTATAACGAATCCTTCTAGTTCTGTTTGCGGTGGACGATCCGTCACCTGGTTTCTCGCCCTCTTTAATGGGCGCCATGGGACTGTTTGCTCTGGTGGGCGCTGGAATCCTGAAGACCGTCTACCTGGGCAAGGACATCCGACTGGACATCACGCCGCAGGACATCGGCATCAAGAGCATGCTGTGCTACACGAAGAGGGGATCCGAGATCTATAAGCGTGGTCCGCCGGAGGAGGTGCCCGTCTACCTATCCTCATCCTGCACCCACGTGCCGCACACCTTCACCGAGATCGCCGAGCAAATGGACACGCTGGACTTGTGGCGGGATGTGGCGTTCGGGAAGAACCTGATGATACCGGGCTGCCACTATACGGACAAGCGGTGGGTCTACCAGTTCCTCGTCTTCACCAAGCAGATCCTGCCGGCCATGATCATCGATCTGCTCCTGAGGATCTTCGGCCAGAAGCCGATGCTGATGAGTGCAGTACGGAAAGCCTACCAGACGCTGGAGGTGATGCAGCCCTTTATGTTCAACAACTATGACAGTCCCGGGGTTACGGACATGGAGTCCCTGTCCAAGGAGAACGAGGGGTAAGTTGGCTGGAGTCTCACATTCTTAGCATCCTATTAAAACCCTTTGATTCTAGAACCGCTTTCAACTTGGATGCCTTCAACCATCCGGATATCCATGGCCTGGTGATTAAATCCTGCGGGGAAATGCTCCTTAGCATCCGAACGCACTTGCTGCGCGAGGATCCAAAAACACTGGAGCGCTCTAAGATTATCCTAAGAACGTGAGTAGTACTATATCTCAGCAGCGGAATATTTGCATTTTTAAATAAAACTAATTTTTAGGAAGGTCATATGCTACCGGCTGTTCCGCCTTTTCCTGCTCTACAAGATTATCTTATGGGTCTGGAGAAGCTATTTGTCGCAGCTTTTCTAGATATATATTTTTTTTAATACTGTTATGTTTTTAAATTTCTATTTTTTGTAATCCCAGTAGAGTTGAACTTGAAGTCAGCTCCCAAATAACAAACAAAGTTTTGTCCAGTCAGTCTTTATAAAAATAGTTTCTGTTGCTAAATCATGGAAGAATATAGGGATATCCACTTGAATGAAAATGAAGAGGTGCAAGAAAATGAAGAAATGGATACACCCGTGGCCCATCGGATAAGTAATTTTGTTAAGACCGCCTTGAAGCTGATTCTTCGCTTAGTCGGATGGCTATTGTGGCCCAGCGCGTTACATATATTTCTGTTCAAATGCTGGCTTTCCGCGGTGGTGATTGTCGTTTTCGCAATGCTTTTCGACGAGTACCAGGAACGCACCATCGGATGTCCCGTCCCAAACGATTCCTGGCAGGACTGGCTGAAAGGACTCGTGGCCGAGCTGCGCTCCCATTTTGTGGAGGACTGTGCCCGCAAGAAGCGGTCGCTTTTCCTACCTAGATTCAAGCCTCAGGATTGCAAGTGGTGTTTGATCTCCCGATTTTTTTAGGGACCTGTCTTAAGACGCCACTTCCCACATTTTTTATATTTTTCCAAAGCTTAAGTTGAGTAAGCTATTTATATTTTATTTCGTTTTTAACTGACTTTAATGGGAACGAGATTAAAGTATTATGTCTCTATTACGAAAATCTTACAGAATGCTAAACATATGAGCTGAGTGATGGTGAGTCTTATATTTCAGTTTTTTAAATAAAACTAAAATCAATTGAAATATATAGTATCACATTGATATATGATATCCTTTGGTTATCTTTTCTAACGAAAAAATAATTTTGTTTGTACTCCTTAAGGTTTACCTGTTTCTGTGTTATATTTTATAAAATTCTCGAGGGATAAATACCAACATCTCGATTTACCTAACTAAATTGAAAATTATTGTGTTTTAAAGCAACTAATCAAGATCTTTTTATCAAAAAAAGCGCTAAGATATATGAGGTACAACTTGGTAAGTCTCCTATTTAAGCTTGTAAAACAATCTATTATTTAATACCACATCAAGCTATAGTTTTATATTCTGTAAAAATAACCTTGTAATGTTTATCCCCAATAGCTCACCTGACTCTGTGACACATTGTTGCTTTGGCGAAGAGATCCATACCGCTTGATAACGCCGGATCCGGAAATGGAGCGGTTGAGATCGTTCCTCGAGCTCACATAGTCGGGCAGGTTGTGCAGCGAGCCCTTGACACAAAGAAACACAGTTAGTTGCCGAGTTCTAAAGTCCATAGTCCATGGATATCCCTAGTTATCTGGATATATGCCACACACCTGGTAAAGAGCATCTGGGCGATACATGGTGCCACTGGCACTCCGCTCGCGATGGGCATCCCTCAGAGGAGTCAGCTGCAGCTGGCTGTGGCACTTGCGGGCGATGTCATCGTTGCTGGTGCTCTTCACCACCGCCTGCGGTGGGGTCACCAATATGGGTCCCTGCCCATTGACGGCGCCATTCGAGTTGTTGTTCTAATCACAAGTTATAGTTATATCTATTAAAGGCGCAAGATTAATTCGTTGGTTTTACTTACCAAACTGGGCTTAAGGTTATGGCCTACACTATTGGATCGGCAGAGGGCACCACCAGGTCCGCCACCCGAAACCGGAGTATCTGTGCGCTGGGGCAGCTGTAGGTACTGATCCTTGGGCAGGATCTTTAGGGGCTCCAGTTCCGCCGGGGTGGTGTTCTCATCGATAATGGCCGACTTCTTGCCCAGCTTGGGCGTGCTCGGTGTGTTTGGCGGCGTTTGTGCGGATGGTGGCACCAGTTCCAAGGGACGGAACATCGCCCCAAAGATGATGCAGTTAAGCACGATGCCGCCGATGATCAGCATCGCACCTCGCCATCCGTAGTTCCCGATCAGGTACTCAGTGAGCGGGGCAAAGACGAAAGTGCCGAATCCGGAGCCGCAGACCGCGATGCCCGTGGCCAGGGATCGCCGGGCCTCGAAGTACTGGGTCACACTCACGATGGCCGGCAGATAGATGAGCCCGAAGCCCAAACCAGTTCCAAAGCCAATCGTGATGATCAGCGTGAGGACATTCTGGGCGAACATGCTCACGATGATGCAACTGGAGGCCAAGATGGCACCCGCTATGGTCACCGCTCGACATCCATAGCGATTCACGAACGACGAACTGATGGGTCCTGCAAATATATATATATTTTAGAAAAGTATCTATATATACGCCAAGGATTCTACTTGCCAGAAGAGAAGGTCACGCCCACCATTATGGAGGCAATCCAGGCCGTATAACCTTTGCCCTCGTTGAAATATTCCAGGAACTCATTGTAGAAGATGCCAAAGGAGTAGGTCATGCCATCGGCTGCAGAAGAGAAAAGATCAGTTAGTTATATACTCGTATCATGAGCTTTATTGAAGGCCTGAAAGTAGGCTTTGAAATTTCTAGGCCCAAAAACTCCTGCCCAAAGTGGATTTCGTTCGATCAAACTGGTTACCAAGCGCTAGGCTCTTTGACAGGCCATAAATCAGTTTAGTTGGCAATTAATTACGGCTCCCAATTTTATCACTATCGCTAACTATTTCCGTGGCTGGGCAATTACAGCCAAAACGGCGATAAGATTATCGCCTGGACACTTGGCCACAATTATCATCCAATTGATAGTTGTACCGCTGAAGTGGCGACTGTAGACCACCTCCACTACACTAAACTACACCACACTACACTTCACTTCTCGTAAATCAGCCCCATATCAGACATATCGGGTATCAGGATTGGACCATGCGGTAGATAAGCCCCTCTTCCAATCTTCCCCCGGCTAAACACTCTGATTTGCGGCGATTAGAGTGCTTAAAATATTTACGATCCCCCAAAAATCCACGAAATACTCAAATACTTTTATTCCCTGACCACTTTGGTTGCCGGGTCAGTCCAAGGCTGGTGGGTTTGATTTATGACAGCCGCGAAGGCCTTAAAAGGTGGTGATTAGCTGCCTGAGTTACCAAACACCAGTTGGTCAAGTCCTCCCTTTGGGTTCTCACTTCGAATACCATAGGAAATACCGAAAAATCGGACAAGAAAGTGGGTTTAAATTATGACCCATATTCAAAAGAAGACTTTTAATGCAGATTATACGAGAATTCAACCACAAACTCATAGAGGTATCCCACTTCAAAATCGGGATCCAATAACTCAAGTTATGAAATCTGGAAGTGCAGTTTTGGGGTCCCATACTGAAACCCATTAGAAATACGGAAAAAAGTAACATGAAAACAGGCGTAATTTTTGAACCTCCTTTAAGGGTAATATTTAAATGTAGATCATTAGAAAATTCAACCACAAACTCAAAGAGGCATCCCACTTCAAAATCGGGATCCAATTACTCAAGTTATGAGATCTAGAAGTGCAGTTTTGGGCTCCCATTTCGTAAGCCAATAGAAATACGGAAAAATCTGACATAAAAATGGGTTTAAATTTTGACCCTCGTTTAAAAGAAAAATGTTGGTGTAGAATATAAGAGAATTCAACCACAAACTCATGGAGGTATCCAACTTCTATATCGGGATCCAATTACCCAAGTAATGAAGTTGTGGGTTCCCATTCTTTGATGGTAATGACCTGTGTTCTGTTGTATACCCCGAGGGGAAGGTGCAAGGAGTAATTGACTTTCACTTACTGACTATGTGTATCATGAAGGAGCCGAAGACCACCACCCAGCCCCATCCGCCGTCCGGTGGAGTCGGCTGTCTCTCGAGATCCATTTCGCAGGTCTGCTCATGTTGCTGCTGGGATTTTCTGCGGGCCGGCGGTCCGTGAACCATTTTGTTGGTATCGCCCTGGGCTTATTGCTCCGGTTTCCAAATGAACTTTGACCGGGTCTCCACTGTTCCTCTCTCCTCTGCTGGATGTTGCTCCTGCTGATGGGATGTTCCTTTTAAAGCCAACGGCTCATATTGCGCCAACTGAAATGTAAATATAGGTACATGTACATAAGTCAAAATAGTGAATTAATTGCCCCGCCCAGCTTGAAAATATTAAAAACACGTGATGAAGAGGATGTTGTTAGGAGATTGTTGTTGCTGTTGCTAGAGTGTCTGCCGTCATTATCAGCCGAGTTCAACCAAAATACATAGAACCTGCTAAAAAAAAAAGCAACCAAAACATATTGCTTTTAATGTAATCAGTTGGAAACGTGCAATTGCCGGGGATAAGTAACAAGTAAGCCAAATAATAGACTTTGTGGAAATATTATTATTTAAGAAATCTGTTGGATTTATAAAAATAACATATTTCATTTCATCATTATGATGATTTAGTTGTACAACTTGTTTGGCCAATTAAGTTAAATTTAGAATTGAATTAAAACGAAGCAAACCAAATCGAAGCGGTTATCAGGCTCTCGGTGACCTCTTAACCCCTCCCACCCAGTCCGTCCCTTCCTCGTTGGCATAATCCCTATCTTCACCGTTATTTGGCAGATTCCGATTCCACTTACATTTCCATTGTCCGTCGATCTTATAAGCAAGAAGCGGAGAGAGCAGAAAGGTGAAGTATCATCATATATGTATAGTACATATGATGGTACTTGGTATGTGGATGTGGCTTATCAGGCGGGGCTCAGAAAAACACCCGACTATAGACTATGGAAGATCGGTGCTGAGCTGTTTGCCATTCGGACCCCCAGCGATCAGCACGGAAATTCTTTCGTTTATGCGGACCAAAAATCGCGAAAAAGGAAGTTTTCTATAATATTTCTTAATAATCTCTTAGGTATCTCAAGTATTCCTAAATCTATATAAATATTTCGGTAAATATATATACTTTTCTGATAGAGAATTAGCGGGACTTAGTCACTTTCAGGCACTTCAGACAACTCTAATTGCTAATCAAAGTGTGAATTACTTTCGTTTATTGCCGTGCCGTGTTGTTTGTTTCTCGTCTCTTCAGCTGCAGCCCACAAATAGATACGTACTATCGAATATAGAATATATGCATATAACCTATATGCATTGCACATGTATCTCCAGAAGTGATGCCTGCTCAATCATCGTTGTTATTGCTGCGTTTTTGTCAAGTGAAAACAAAGCGCAAAAGTTGCAACAATGCCGCAAGATAATTGTGACGTGATAAAGCAGATGTGTAGGGTAGGGGGGGATGTACATTTCCCCCCGGACTGAACAAAAACAAATGCTATTTCACTTTTCCAAAGCCATATCAGCAAGTACTTGATATGCACACACATTACAATGAAAGCCAGGCATGAACAAAAGCTAAAACTCAACCTAAAATTGATTAGAGGCGAACAATCGAAGCATGGTCGTCGGGATGGGGCGTTACTATATGTTACTATATATTACTATATATGGTTCGCTCTAAATCAACAGGAAACGCATCCCCAGCATCTTAAGCTTGTGTATATGAAATGATTCATCCGTCGGCGTCGCTCTTTTGTGCAATCACAGACAATTAAAACAAAACAAATCAAATCAACGCAAAATGAGAGCCATTTTATAGAGCTTGTATCTCCAGAATAGAACCTCTAGAAATTCGGCATTATCACAGAGTTCAGCAAAAAATGACCATGACACTCAGGCTTTTGTCTCGAAAAGGTTTTTTTCTAATTGCCGACAAAGAGATTGCGCATACGCAACGTTGGCGGCATTAAGCAATGGAAATTTTGTTGTGTCCACACGGAATACACCTATATTATTATACATATGTCCGCCCACTTGACCCCAACTCATCTGCTTATTATAAGTTATTTTCATCTAAAAGCTAAATATTTGTTTTGCGTTTGTTTAAAACTCCTAAAACTTTGTTATGAGCTGGTTGCCAACTGGACCGTAATCGGGTTATTACTGCTCGGTTCTACCATAAGTGCCCCTCGAACCCCCTCCATTTGTTTATCTTGCACTTTCGCCTGGCAACGACACCAATAACCCTCCTCAAAAGCGATAGCACTCGGACTGGATGCACTCAGTCACCCGGCCATTGGATGGGGGGCACTACGAGGAGACTTTGCCCTTGACCCACACCCATACCCATCACCGAGTGATAGCCCCAAAAATGTGACAAAATGTGCGCAGTAAGCAAAATGCAATATCAGCAGCAGAAAAATCAACCAAAAAAGAAGGAGCAACACGAACGTTCGATTACGTGAGTGCACCGAAAAGAATTTTTTTATTATCCCACAGAAATGACCATATTTATAACACAAATTGTTTATATTTTTAACAACCCCTTTACATTTTTTAGACATTTACCTAAAGTTTGAACATTTAATATTTTACTTTCAAGGTAATCACATATTTTTTTGTGTGTGCGGCATTATTTTGCGTGGTTTTCTGTTATTGTTCTTGTTTCTCGGCAGATTGCAGCGTTTTGGTGACTAGCAAGTGTCGTTGAACCACAAGTAGCAAAATAAACAAATGCGACTTGCCAAAAAAAGGAGGCTATACCAAAGGTGATAAAGAGCACTTGCATGTGGCATGCAAATTAGTCACCCCCCCCCCCCCCCCCTCTATATAGGTGTACTGCATATACCACCCATTTCCAGTTCTTAACTCTTTAATTATGAGAATTATGAGGACGACTTAATTGTATTCCCAGCAGGCTTTGTCTTTTCAGATTTATGGCTCGGTTATCCTTGCCCGGTTCAAACTGCATCTCAGCTGGAAAAGCTGTTGTGCATCGGTCATTCGCACTTTGTTTATTATGAAATTAATTCACTTTGCTTGGCACTAAATGAATTTCAGCTTTTGCGGTCACGGATTTTTAATTGCTTTGGCCTTGGACTTACATACTTTGTGTTCACTTCCCAGTCGGAATCCCAGCCGGAGTTCCCCCCGCCAACCCACTCGACCTCCCATCAATCAGAGGCACCTGACCAGGCTGTTGAACCTGGTCAGGGAAAGATACTGACCCACTAACCGGATTCTACGGGCTTCGTATAGATTAAATTAGATGGGTATTCCAGGGAGAGTGCAAGCGAGGAAAGGCTTTCTAATTGGGTTGCCAAGGAGATGAGGAATTTATTTCGATTTCTTTATTTCTTATCACACACTATTTTATTGAGCTTCTCAATAGTTTAAATAATTACCTACATATGAATATTACTCCTTAACTAAAGAATGACCTCGATACCCATTCCTATCCCCATACTTAAAGTTCATATTACACGTACACCTCTGTTTAATATTCCCACTTCCCTCTGATCCCGATCAATCTTTCTCAACGATCTTGTCAACATGGGTATGGACCTTCGGATTTAGTCAATATCAATATGGAGAGCTATCAATATCGATCATGGCCACCTGTTAAGCGATCGAGGGGGCAGGGTAACGAATGCTCATTCTGTTTTTTCCTCTCCCACGTTCTATGTCTACAGGCACAACAAATATAAAAAAATAAACCGAAAATAAAGAAGAAAATACGTTTAAAAATAGTTTCGACGAGAAATGCATTCTCGATATTTGGATGGTCTTTCGGATTGGTTTTACTCCAGGCCGATTGGACTTCGCTGCCTGGGGAATCGTAAACAGAGAGATGATCCAATCGGGAATAACAATTATGACATTTAGCATTATGGCACATAATTGGACAGTTAAGCCGTAAATCGCCTTATCCTTATCTGATCGAGCCGACTTACCTTTCGTGTTGTAGGCTATGTACGCCTTCTGTGAAGTAATTAATTAGTTGCACTTTTTCGCCTTATTTCTGTTAATGTTTCATTTACTTTATTGCCAGAGTGTGCGAATTTTTTACGACTTTGTTGACAATTTGTGTTCTTCACGTTACAGTTGCAATTGTCCAATCGTTGAGATTATGGATTGCACGGGGCGTTGAGTGTTCAATAAAACTGAATGAAATTGATTCCGATTGATCGTATCGCGCTCTAGTTATGGCAGTTAACGTAAGAGGTCCTTGACAACTGGCCACACTTGATTGGTCCTGTCTTCTTTTGGCGATTTGGTCACTCTTAACGGTTGTTTAATGACGGTTTAAACACGGACTTCGGCTTGTCACTGAACTTATTGATGTTCTTTTACTTGTTTCTGAATTCCGTGAGCGTGATATTACTTTTGGCGAGACGCAACCGATGTCGCTGTTAGCAGGCGACCAAATAAAATTAAATGCGGACTGTGTAAGAGCAAAACGTCGAGCAGACCGAGCAGAAGAAGGAACGGAACGGCGGCAAAGAAAAAGCAAACACTGAAAGCACTCTCTCTCTCTTCTCCGCTCTTTCTCTCTCTGCGCCCGGCTCTTCTTGGAACGGTACCCTTATCAGTGGTCAGCCATATGGAGGGTATTACTATATAGAGAACTCTGGGAGAGAGCAACCAAGTGATCGGACTCAATCCGCTTTGAATTATAGAAACCTTATCAGTTTATAATTTTTCTACAGGTTTTTTTTCTTCAAATTGTTGTCCACAGACAAATAACACGGGTTTTTCGGGTGGTTCAGGGAGGCGGGTGGACCCAAGGGGTGTCTCAAATGCTTACGCTTTTATGGGCTTAGTGTTAAATATTAATTAACAAATTTGCTCGAGTTGAACTGTGCGTAAAACGAAATCACAACGGCCATAAAAAGAAAATACAATCATAACAAATTGTATACAACAGACTATTTGGACCTAGCAGGGGACTACAATACTCTATAAGAAAAAGTAGTTTAACCTGGTTGCTCATCTTTAGTTGGACATTATTTTGAAAAGTATTATTGTAATAAGTTGATTAACTTTTTAGCTTAAAATGTATTTTTTAAATGACTATACTTTATCTGCGACCAAGTCCAATAATAGAGCATTTTAGAGGGTGTTTCAAATTGTATCCGTAGGCGAAGTTTAAAACATAGTGGGGCAACCTTACCTGTTTCATGTAATAAAATGATAGCTTAAAAATTGTATTATTCATATATTTCAGTTTAGGTCATTTAATTTATAAAACACTTTAAACTTCTATTTAACTTATCACTATGAAATTCTTTTTTCGATCCTGTACATTGCAGTTTATTGCAGATGAGGTGATATAACCAACGAAATCGCCTTCTAACTTCCACTTCACTAAAAAGTAGTGAAAAACTAAGGTCGATAAGACATGTTCCTTACAATCCACAGCGAACGGTAAATACTCTATATGAAGTAAATGGAGCGTAATATTTAACTTTCCCTCTGCTCGCGGGCTTTCCTGGCCCATGAAGCACTGTGCATGAGGAGTCACACATAGAGAATTCAGTTACCATTGATCAACATTGGAAATCCGACATGACCGCGCTTCGCACTGATCGCATAATTTGCTGAGCAAATAGTGCCTCTTAAAGCTATAAATATACACAAGACCCCAAGACTAGACCGAAGGCAATCGGTCACAGGTTGGCCACCCAAGATGAATTGGACGACCAACCCGTGATCCTATATGTACGCCCCATTACCTCCTGCCCTCTTAAAACCCCTTTCCCCTCGGCCATTTATGATTGTCGTAATGCGACAATATTGATAACCGATTATACCAGGCGATTGATAACGCCCTCGCCGCGAAGTGGACTATTCTATTTCTATATACAGGAACGGGAGCGGAGCTGGGATTGGGAATCAATTCCGCATAGTGCGTCCAAGGGTGGCCATGCCACGCCCCATTTCCAGCTGATAAGATAGTGGAGTCCGGGTTAGATGAAATGGAGCGCCACTGCAGGCTCAACTTGCTGCAAGGAGCGAAATTGGGCCCGAACAGGAATCGTTTTAGGAATCTGTTTACCCAGGTGCCATGTGTCAGATTTGACAACACCCAATTGTCAAGTGTCAGACCTTACAGACTTCATAGTCAGACAAGCAATTCATATATTTCGTACCATACGGAGCTCGTAAGTTGGTTTTTTCCTTAACCCTTTCTTAAGGTTCCAGAAACTTATATTATCCTGTCCATCAGACTTTTCTGAATATATTTCTTAGTAATGGAGCTCTCTGAACTGGAAACTCTATACAACTTGCGCAGGTCCGCTTTTGGGATGCGCCAAGAATCTTTCGAGAGGATCGGTCCTACCGATCCTCTCCGGCTCTTCAAGTTTATATTATCCTTGGATCTGCCCATGTTGAAGGACGAGACACCGCCCCCGAGTTTCTATTACGATTTGGTGGAGGCAAAGGGCATTGAACTGGGCCGAAGTGTTTACAGCGGAAAGCTTCTAGTAACCCTCGGTAGTCAGACAGTACAGCCAGAAGATACGAAGCAGGAACTCCCGAATCCGATACCGTTGACAGCTGAGGACTTGCAGCCGTCAACATCTCGGGGCATTAAGCCATTATCATCTGGTGCAATTGAAGATAAAGGACCATCTGCAGATCTAAAATCAGAACAACCTAATTCTGCAGAACCATGCCTTTCTGATGATGCAATGTCATCTTATTCCGGAGACACCATACTACCATCGCCCAGAGATGGAAAGCGCCCAATGTTGGTGGAAATGGGAACTGGTCCCGACAAGGCACACCTGCCCAAGTTGGCGGAAACCGGAACGTGTACCGATGAGGCAAATCTGCCCGAGTTAGTGGAAACGGCATCTGGTTCCGATACAGTTGCGACAGAGGATTTAACACCACCAGATGATGATCAATATCCACCGAACCATCTATCGATGGGCTACTTCATTAAGACGGCCGTCCTGACAATATCCGTGCTGCACACCCTATATGTACTCTCGAAGATCGCCTTCGGGCCTTCCATTGCCTATGGCTGGAAAACCTGGATTGCGCCGCCGCCCATCGAGGAGAAACCCCTATCCTTTCCCGCCAGTATTTGGAAACTTATGCTCGACAAACTGGCGGATCTGCGTAGTCTGTTCACCTAACTCCGCTCCTGGGATCGCAAACATTGATAGTTTCGATCCGAGCGGTCTATTTATAAACCCATCCAGCTATTTTTACGCCTCGTCGAGACTCAGCTATGGTTCCAGTTGCAGTTACAGTTCCATTCGATTCCTTCTGTCTATTGTTGTTGTTCCCGTTCTTGGCGACGCTGGAGATTACGAGGAGCACGAAGTTCCCGAATATTCGGAATGCTGTTGTTGTGTACCCAAGAATAAGCGATAAGCCTCGAAACCTACACGAATCTCGGTCAATAGCTCACCGATCAGATCAGATCTATAGCCAAATAAATACCAAGCTGAGTCCCCGATTTTAAGTCTCGCTCTTTCTTTTCTTCTCTATGTGGAATGTGTAAAATATTCCATGGCGCTAGTTATGCGTTATCCCCCGATCCGTGGACAATGATCCCAGAGTCCCAGCCCCGTCTTATCGGTGTCAAACACCTATTGTGCTTATTGTGCTTTCATAGGTGCATTCACTTGCCCTTTCCCAATCCCGATCCGAAACGGAACTCGATCCCAACTGGCGTCATTGCTTACTGCGCACCGATGGAACGTTGCCGCAACTATCTGAGCATACATGGAGATCACTGATGACAAATATGAGGGCATTATGTATACCAGTCTGTTTCAGTGGGTCTAAAAGGCAAATCTGTTCAAAAGTTAGCTGCATCCAAAAACAGATATAAGCTAATAAGATCTTTTACCATTTTTGGAACCAATTTGGAACTTAAAAAGATTGTTTATAAGTCCTCTAATTTTTCATAGGCAAATATTTCATTTTAAAATTTGACTATTTTATCCAACAGAATTAGCAATACACATTTAAGCAACCCAGGCGAAAGCCTTTTAAATTCCTTAACTGCCGGCTTCTTTAATCATTGCGATTTTCATATCTTTTCTGAGGGCCCTTTATCGGCGTTTTGTGGCCAGGCCACTTGCCTAGCACCAACTATTGATTTAATTGCAGCTGACGGCCAAGGAAACTTCTGGGCTGGAATCTTCGCTGCACGTCAACGTCAGACAGGCGAAAAGCCGGAAAATTGAGCTGCCAGGGAAAGCGCAGAGCAGGGCCAATGGCATAATGTGCCTGCCCGAGAATATGCATGCAAATTAGCTGACAAAACAAGATTGACATTCGGCAATCAGCGGCGAATTGTCTGCATCGACCATTTTGTTATTTCACTTTTTTTTTTTTATCCACTTCTCACGAAACATGCCGCATTGCCATTTTCCCTGCCGCAGGCCAAAAGCCAACTATAAGAACTGGTTAAAGGCAAGGCAAGTGCCAAGACCAAAGGCCGCGAAAAATCTGAAAAATCGGAGATGGGGCCCAAATGGGGCCGAAAGGGGCAAGGACGACGACCCAAAGCACAGGGTTTTCTACTATATATATGTATGTGGTATGGATATGTAGTATCTGGGCAGGTCGTTTGCTCTGCCGCCGCCTTCTATTTAACATGCACTCGTCAGAAGCGCTGGGCCGCATTAATATTGCAGCGCTGGGCAGGACGAAAGTCGATCCAAGGGGCGGGACTTTCCGCAGCCACCTGTTGATTGCCCCTTCCGCATCGCGCAATCGCCTCTGGTGTCCTGGTATCCCATACCATGGGATATGCACAGGCACACAATGGCAAAAGGACCTCCGCTCGCAGGGGGTCAAGCCGATAGCAGTGCTCACTTTGCTAGGATCCATCACCAGGGCACGTGAGATGTATTTAAACAATTTGACCTAATGTCCCTTCCCCAAAAGTGGGACATGTTTTCGAGAAAGTCATTAGTACAGGGAACTGCAGGGAAACTATTTGCTTGGAATCTCTTTTGAAATCATCTCTTTAAACAGAATCCACCTGACTTTCGTATTCAAAATATATTGTTGCATACTTTGTAACACCTTTATAGGCGGTTTCAAGGCTCTAATAATTTCGGTATTTTTTTGAGCACACTTTGTTTTAACTTAAAGTGAATGAAAATTATAAGCAGTCTAATGTTGAACGGCCCGAAATATATATATATATGTATATATCCTTGAAGTGCTAGTATTGCGACCGCAACAGTAGATTTCCCGTGTGAGTTGTCGCTAATTATGCACGGACTAATGAAAGACATGCGCTCTCGAGCGAAAACAACTCAGTTTACACTCAAAACATCGGTTTGGACATGAGAGTCTAGGTATGCGAGACTGTACCTGCACGTTTATATCTTAAATATAATGTATGCTGAGAACGATCAAAGGACTTTGAAAACTGTCCCATTGGCACAAGTTTCGCACAGCATCCGTCAAAGTTTCATAAGCTATCTTCCTAGCTGTTGTCACTGTACTTTCGCTTTTACTGGCTCTTCCCCCCCCTTCCTTCCGGGACTACCTTTCACTACTTTTTCCGCCTGGATGCGATGCACGTGCCGCGAGTGTGTGTGTGACAGGTGGTTATATCAATGCACCCGAGTTCGCCCCCCGGCGTCACGTTCTCACTCGGCTACAATGCGTTATGCACATGCAGTGATGGCAAGGGCGGCCCTTTTTTACTAGTTGCGACACTTGGCACGGGGATTATGGAAGAAGGATACCCAAAAAAAGACTACATTTTATGGAAAACCTCTAGGGTCCAGGAGTACCATGCTTTATGCCATAGTAATTTTGTGCTTCGCTTCGGTATTTAAATGTACTCGGAAAAAAGTACTTCAAATGTACATATATCCAAATGAAAGGTAACAAAGGCTAAAGGTTAAAGAATTCTTCATGAAACGGGGCTTTCCAATTTAAACGATAAGTAAAGCCTATTATTAGAGTTCTCTGTTTTTTAGTCGGATGGGGGATTTGATTTTTAGGATAAGATAATTATAATATTATTTGCCTACTCTATCCAACTCCAGAACTAAAACCACTTTTCTAAGTTTAACTGACCAAAAGCAATTCAATCCATTATACTATATATTTCCTTCTACATAGTAGAATTTTTGGAGATATTCTAAGGGGTATATATTATGTCCGGATAAGGAATAAACTGGACGTGTGTACTACCTATCACTTTGAACTTGGCCACTTACCCTTGCACTTTCCGATGAACCGGCACGTGGCACGTGATGCGACTGGTCGATCCTTGGGTCACGGACACCGATACGGATTGGGATACGAGAATGGACACTTGAACCACAAAAGGCGGTAGCCGGAGCGGTCGAAAATCGAACTTGGTCGCGTGATTAATTGGCAATCGCTTGGCCGTGGACTCCAGCGACCCGTATCCGTAATTGGCCAAATGGTCGGCCATCCGCTGTCCGTTAACCGTTTGCCGGACTGTCGAAACGAACCGAATCTAATCGAATCGAATCGAATCGCACCGAACCGGACGGGACGGGATTGAAGTCACCGTTTTGGCCAGGCCAGCCTGCCTGCCGCCTCAAAACATTCTGGCCGCGTGAGCTTTAATTGTGACTTGATTTTGAAATGAAATGCAGCGCCGATTCTTGTGAGCTTTTTAGCTTTTCCACGGAGCTTTTTGTGCAGGTAACCCCCACCCCCACCCACTTCCACACCAACCCATTCTCCATTTTCCGGAACCCTACTCACGTTAATCACGTACCGCCTAAAACTCGGATAGCATGTGCTTTGGACTTCCTTCTCACAGCCGTACATTGTCATATCCATGGATGTCCTCATTCCACGACCACTTGTTGTCGATGGTCATAAGGTCATAAGTCATAAGTCATAAGCCACTTGTTGCATGGCGCAGATCTCCCGGCTCTTAAGCTCCTTGTAAGGTTGCCCAATTAGGGCTGCTCTTCTGTTATTCAGGATGCAGCTGGACTGCACCATCTGTAATCCGAACGCATTTTCCCCTAATTAAAAGGGCAAAAGGCAGGGGCAATTAAAATTGCTGCTGCCCAGAACTTGGATAACAAAAGTTTTGCAAATGCAACCAATTATTTGATCCTCTCGGCACTGTTTTCATGTGGATTTTCTATTAAATTATTACATAATTAAATTTAATAGGGGCGAATGCTAGAACTCATCGCCCAATCCATCGAAATAAATGAAATGCACATGTAAGAAGAGCAGAAAAAATAGAAATGCATTCATACGTAAGTAAATGGAGCATGCAATAGGTTATTATGATTGTACAAAATGTGATGATAAATGGAATGCGAATAGGGGGCCTTCACTTGCAGCTGCGTTATGTTTGCATAATGGAATTGTAGATCCCACGTTTTCGGAATAATATGATGCCTGAATTCCTGGATTATGGGTCTGCCTTCCTAGATTCCCCCCCTGGCCCCATCCTCCTCCTCTTCCTCGTGGGTATCAATCGTATCGTTCGTGTCCGCATTCAGATCCACCCAGTTGTCGTCGCTGATTTCGTCAATGGTATCCGTATCATCCACAACGGCCGCAACGCTTACATCATCTGTGGATCCGGATCCTGTGGTGGTGCCCGTGGTGGTGGTGGCCGTAACGGCGGACGAGGGCCTCAGTATCTCCTCCTGTGTGGCCGGAGTCGGGGTCGTCGAGGTGGTATACGATGCGGAGGAGGGTGTCTCCGATCTGTAGCCTAATCCCAGGCCCGTAATGTACGATCCAGAACCTGAACCCGATCCCGATCCTGATCCAGATCCCGATGCAGTTTCCGTTGCCGTGCCCGTATTGGAACTGCAACTGGCTGTTGTCCCCGAAGTGGAGGCATCATCTCCGGTTATGGCATCCTGGGATAACCTGGGTCGCGATGCCCCCTTGAACTTGTTCTTCTGTCGGGCTATTTCGTAGTCCTTGAGATCGGACAATTTCAGCGTTATTTTCTGTAGATCGCGTTTTAGCATCTTTAGATCTAATTTTAGAGCGTGGATCAGAAAACAGTTATGCGAAGAGAGTTATGTGTGACAAAGTTGAGATCTCAAGTGGTCACACTTTGTAGAGAAAAGAACAGTGACTATCGTATACCAGTCACATTGGTAAATTGAGAGCTTTTATTTTTGAAGAACCATTACTTTTAATGATTTACTCCAATATACAGCAACCATAATGCCCATTATTAAAAATATCTGTTTCCGAAATTTTAGCAATTTTCTTAAAAGGTTCTTAACTATTTTTTAAATTTTTAAAGGGGCATATGAACGATTTTTAGAGCAGATCGATTAATTCATTTATTTTAGCCTGAAATCAATTTAAAAACCTTCACAGGAATCCCAAAAATAATATAAGACTCCCGAAGTAAGTGTAAATAAAAAACAAAATTGAGAATTGTGTTCATAATACGATTCTATATTTGCTCAATACATACAAAATACGTACAATATACATTGTACATTCATATATTACATTTATTTTTCACATTAATAGGCTAATATATATTTTTTTAAAAAAAGTATTATCAAATTAGTTTTGTACTAAATTCTGACAGGTTATATTTTGTGTCTCCAAGGTCCTAAAATTCAAAGACATTTTATACGCTATTTGCAGGACATTTATTATGTTGTCAATGATTCACGAAAACAAATATATATATATGTATGATAGTGCAGTGATGAGCGTGAAGCGATTTAGAAAAAAAAAAGTATGTATTATGATCATGGATAGATGGTGTTCCTAGTAGAAGCCGTAGTGCCCATGGTGATACGGATAGTAGCCATGGTGTCCGCCGTAGTAGGGCGCCGCATGAACGTATCCGTAGCCCCCGTAATAGGGACTTCCCAGCTCGTAGCCGCCGTAGTGACCATGTCCGTAGCCACCGTATCCGCCGTAGCCGCCGTATCCGTGACCGAATCCGTAGATGCCTCTCTTCTCCGTCTTCTTCTCATCGACTGCGGATGGCTCCGGCTCCAGGGCCTCAGGGGCGGGCTCCGAAACTGCTGCCCAGGTGCCCACCAAACAAATGGCCAGGATGATGAACACACACTGCACAGAGAAAAAAAGTTTGGATTTTAGTGTCGTTTTATATACCAGTTAGTTACTCTTTAAATATAAAACCTTTATATTATTGTCATACTTTTAAGGGTACTACTTTATTATCTTTCTGGAATTTTGGAAAACACTTGTTATACAATATCTTTGGACAAGGACCTCTTAAAAATTGAAAAGAATATACAATTCGCTAACAACAATTTCAGTTGTCCTTTTTTTATGCAACTGGATAAAAAATACTTCTGCAGGTTTAGCTCCAAGGCAAGAATTTAAAAAAAAAACACTTTTTATTAAGTTATATAAACTGTCACTTGAAAAAAATACAACTCCATCACTCAATGTTTTTCTCGGTCGGGAATAATCCTTTGTGTTGCTGCTGCTTACCAAGAACTTCATGTTGCTGCTGCTGATGTTGCTGGACTGTTGGACTGTTGGATGCGAGTTGACTGGATGGGTTGGACGTCAGGCGAGGTTTGTTGATGGCTGCCAGTTGCCCGGCGCTTTTATAGTCACCCGGCTTGGCTTACTGTTGCTGCTACAGTTTGCAATTATGCAAACTGACAACAACAGCAGAAGCAGCAGCAGCAGCAGCAGCAGCAGCGGCAGCTATTGTTGCAGCTGAATTGAATGCATGACGGGTTGAGGACTTGAAATCGAATATTGTTTATGCTGCGAGAGCCAAAAGGTCATCCATCCGCTCATCCGGCGGACCCGCGAGTAGAATGGAGTGGGCGTGGATACTAACGATATCGGTTATAATTGCAATAGTAGTCGAAATTCTCAGATCCCAGGCTTATTGGGCAATCGAAATAAGGCGGCAATAGCAATGCGATCCACATGCAAAACGAGACTCTTAGATGCAAATGCGTTCCACATTCACCAAGTTGTATGTATCGTATAACGCTTTCACTGGCTGATCGGATGGTTTACAGAGTCAAAAAGGGGAGCATTACCATTGCTCAAGTTTGTCCAGAAGCTGGGCCAGATATCAAAGTGCCACAAACCCCGTGGGAATTGATCATGCATTATATATATATTATGAGCAATTGCACGTTTGACAGCCTTTTGGCATTTTTAATTAAGGCGCCAGCCCAGCTGGGATCTCTGCCAGATCATATTCAATGCAAGCTCTTATCGAAAGAATATCCAAAGTGCACGATTTTCGAAGGGACCTCTGGGTGAAGGGGTATATTGGGCCAAAGATTGTTGCCAAGTCGATTGAGCCATTAATTTTAATGGGTGTAAACAAGGTTTATTGAAGAACAATTTTACTCTTTTAAACGTAAATATCTCTTTACATAAATAAAGGTTATTGCGGAAAATAACATTCTTACGTACTCAAAAGAAAGATAGATGTATGAAGTGTTTCAAAAATGCAAAAAAATGTGTCGAAAGTTCTTTAAAATTAATTGTAGACCAATAACATCAAATATTAATATTATCTAAAAAATAAAATCTTAAGTATGGATCTGGCAGCTAGTACTATAGGTTCCTCTTGTTTTTGTAAACATAATAAAAATAAAATATTAAATAACAAACAGGAGGACTTGAATTAATATTGGATGTTATATGCTCGGATAAATTTTTTAAGTAATAGTCACAGTACTGCTCGAAACTAGCTCAATCTTAAATTACTGGATATCCAGCCGTAGAGTCACCTTCTCCCATCGATCATTTCCGTCTGCCGGGGGCTACGGTACCAGTACCGTACCGCCACATTGAAGGACGACCTTGACCGCAGTGGCAATTGCAAATTGCAATTGCAGTTTGTGATTCTCCGAGTTCCCAAGTCATGAATGAAGCAACGCCGGCGGCAACATTGTTGAATGAAGCATGGAAAACAGCCGAACGCAAGCGCATTTTCATTTTCCCAATCGACGACGTCTCGTCATCTCTTGCCAAAAGTGGGTGGCACCGCCATTGTCTTCTCCTCCCCGCGATTGTTTTGGTATCATATCATTTAATATTAATGCCCTGCGCATTGGAGGTGAATGCACGCGAGACAAGACGAGACGCGTTGGGCAAGCGGAAGCCATCCGGGGGGGTCTGTTCTGGGATCTGAGATCTGCGATCTGGTCACGATGCGGAGATGACAACACTTTTGATTGCCAGCTAAATTATAATTCTTGGCTAATTCTAGTCTGCGGATGGGGCCGATGTCGATGTCTATTGATTGATTCCCCATTGTGACCGGTTTGATTTACGGCACAGACGGCTAATGGCGCATTGTTGGGCTGCTTCCAGGTTCCAGGGTCAGATCTTGAATCTCGAAAGCCCGCCGGGGCTACGGTTTGCCATCCACTTTGGCCAGCTGTCCGTGGTTACACAACAACAACCGGCGTTGGCCATTTGATTTCAGCTGAAAATGCTTACATTTCCTTACAATTTATTGCGCTTAACAGACATTTAACAATTAAAGGGGCACAGGAGGGTGGGTCCTAGTACTTCAGCTCCTTGTCCTTGTCGTGGGCCCCCTCGTCTAAGAGCTTCAGTTCCGCCTGCTGCTTCTCCGGCCGGATGACCGTGTAGTAGTGGTAATAACGCATCCCCAGGATGTAGGTTCCGTAGAGGGTGACCCCGATGCAGGCGTATACGGCGCCGCGGTGCAGCTTGTCCAGCAGCGAGTTGGCATTGATAGGCTTCTTCTGCATGGCGTCCAATCCAAATCCAAGTTCCAAATCCGTAAAAGTTTCCGTTTGGCTGTTTTCCTCAGCTGTTCTGTCAGTGATGTCGATAATAGGAAAAGTACCGATAATAGAGAGCAAGTATTGTAGCTATAGTCAAAACTAGCTAAATTACAAAGTAATCGGCTTGTTTTTTAACCTGATTGGAGATCTTAGCAAATTTTTTTCAGTATAGTATAGTATAGATTTATAAAAGGTGTCAATTTTTATTACTTGGCTAACAAAATTGGAATATCTAAAGAGTTACCCGCCAAATCACTATCACTATAGCAAAAACAACTTTAGCTAGAAAAAGTCAAACGCCTTAACCGATTAATTTCTCCGGACACCTCCGTCGATAGACCACTCGATAGCTTTCACTCGCACGTGTTTACAAACCTGTGTTTTCCATTCCTGAAACGCCATTGTGAAATATCTGGACTGAAGAGATATCCGGAGGATTAATGGATCACGAATACGCTGGCGTTAGCCCGCTGGGCGTCGGGGAGGGCAAGGGCACCGCCTCGAACGCGGTGGTCCTGTGCTGCGAGTGCGGAGTGGCCATCCAGCCGAATCCGGCCAACATGTGCGTCACCTGCCTGCGCAACCATGTCGACATCACGGAGAATATCCCAAAGCAGGCGGTGCTCCACTTCTGTCGCAACTGCGAGCGCTATCTGCAGCCGCCCAACGAATGGGTTCAGGCCTCTTTGGAGTCCCGCGAACTTCTGGCCGTTTGCCTCAAGAAGTTGAAGGGCTTGAAGGAGGTGAAGCTTGTTGATGCCGGCTTCATCTGGACGGAGCAGCACTCCAAGCGCATAAAGGTTAAGCTGACCGTGCACGGCGAGATCACCGGAGGAACGGTGCTGCAGCAAGTCTTCGTGGTGGAGTTCACCGTCCAGAATCAGATGTGCAACGACTGCCATCGCACCGAAGCCAAGGACTTCTGGCGCTGCCTGGTACAGGTCCGGCAGCGGGCGGAGAACAAGAAGACCTTCTACTACCTGGAGCAGCTGATCCTCAAGCACAAGGCCCATGAGAACACTTTAGGCATAAAGCCGGAGCACGGCGGTCTGGATTTCTTCTACGCCAGTGATAACCATGCCCGGCGCATGGTGGACTTTCTGCTGACCATGGTGCCCGGCAAGGTGACCACCTCGAAGCGTCTCATCTCGCACGACATCCACAGTAACAATTACAACTACAAGTACAACTGGTCGGTGGAAATAGCACCGGTTTCAAAAGACAGCGCCGTTTGCCTGTCCAAGAAGCTGCGCCACCAGCTGGGTAATCTCTCGCCATTGGTCCTGGTTAACCGAGTCTCCAGCAGCATTCATTTGATTGATCCCCTGACCGCACAGATCGCAGAACTCACCTCGCAGGTGTACTTCAGGTGGGAGTCCTCCATGCTAGGTTACGTTTTAAGTGGCTAATATATTTTACCATTTCAGAGCTCCATTTGAGGCCGTCTGCAATCCCAAGCAGCTGGTTGAGTACGTAGTCATGGACATTGATGTGATCATGGAAAAGGATCGCAAGACCTATCCCGGCCAAGGGCAGGTCTCTTTTAAGCACGCCCTCTGCGACATTTGGGTGGTGCGTGCTTCGGAACTGGGCATTAACGATAACCCCATTCACACACGTTCCCACTTGGGTCACTTGCTCAAAGTGGGCGACTCTGTGATGGGCTACAACACGGGCGAGGCCAACATAAACGATCAGGAGTTCGACAAACTATCGCCGGACCTTATTCCAGATGTGATCCTTGTGCGCAAACACTACGACCGCCAGACTAGGCTTAGCCAGCGTGTGTGGAAGATCAAGCATCTGGCGGCGGAGGCCACCGACGAGCGCAGCAAGTACGACTACCATGAGTTCCTCGACGATCTCGAGGAGAACGAAGATATCCGCGGACAGGTCAACATCTATCGAGACACCAACAAGACGATACCCATTGAGGTGCAGGCCGCTAGCGGAGATGTACCCCAGATCACGCTGGAAGAGATGCTGGAGGACATGACGCTCGAGTGTGCCGACGACGAAATGGGCGAGGAAGAAGGTGCCGAGCCGGAGTTGTAGTTCTTGTTATTTATCATAACGCTTTTTTTTACCCATGTATGCCCTGTACATATTCGCTTAATCCACATAAACAACTAGGAAACTTAAAGTGTGGAATTCTTTCTTGAAAACTAATTCACCCTTATGTTACCAAGGTGGCAAAGTAAATTATAATTGGAATACTGATTTCTTCAGTATTTCCTTTGGTTCTACAAGTGACCTACTAAATAATAAACTGTCGAACACTTCTCATGAATTTCGACGTTATCATCCTAAATGATACATTTTCTTCTCCTTTTTGGTGTAAGCTTAACGATGGTAACATATCGGTTTCACTAAAATTCTAGCTAAGTCTTTTCTAAGCTGCTCGTTCGGTTTTGGTCCCGCTTTAGGAGAGTCCCAGCTGCGGTTTCTCCTTGAAGAAGTACACCTCGTCGCAATCGCAGCCATGGTCCGCCTCCCATTCGAGCAGAGCTCGCTTCACGATGGGTAGGATGTGCTTTCTGGTGGCCTGGGCATTGTGTTGGCGCAGGAAGTAGCCGCCCATGAAGCGGGTGTCCACCTCATGAGGTCGCAGCTCCAGCTTGGGATCCTTGGACTCCATTAGTGCATGCCGCACATGTTCCACAAAATGGCTCTGGCCGGAGAGAGAGATCAAGGCCAGGTCACGCTGTACTTGTCCATCGGTGGGTGAGACATACATTCCCAGGATAACCAGTAGGTTACTCTCTGCGCCGAATTCATGTACGGCTTTCTCGGCGCCTTTTTTCTCCACGAAATCCCTGACAAGGATGGGCATTCCAGCTAGGGGAACCACCTGGCGATCGGTTTGTATGATCTTCATATCCTTGCGCAGTACCTCGGTGAGAGTAAGCTTACTAATATCCGCCCTTGCAGCCACTAGTTCATCGAAAAGGCTGCTTCTTTGATCGTCATGGAGGTTCAGCTCGCTCTCCAGCTGCTCGACCATGGCCACATCTTTTGGCCCAAAGCGCTTGGCCGCCAGGGCAAAGTTGATGGTGTCCAGCACGATGGTGGCGTGCAGCATCTGTGCCACGCCAGTGGATCGGGGCTGCTTCTCGCCCAAATAGCGCTGGGCCACCAGAGTGGCGCAGGATCCCACTGCCTCATCAATGTCCAATTCACAACCGGCTGGCAGCTGCTTAAAGGACGGACTACTGTCCTCCAAGGGCCTGTGATCCAAAATCTCCGTCACATTCGGCGCCAGCGGGCTGACATGGTGATCCACAAGGATAACGCTCACATCCTGGGCAACTTCCTTGGGAATATCGTCACGGAAGAGCAATACGGGCTCGGCAATCCCGCACTTGACAAACAAGTGGCCCACCTCCGTTTTCAAAGGGTAATCCCGGCGAGGAATGTTCAGAATGGGAACATAGTCGTGCTCACGATGGCGCTGGGCGTAGACAAAGGCCAAGGTGACGGCTGATACGGCCGAGTCCAGGTCGCACGACTCGTTTCCCATCACCAGATGCAGTTTCCGGCCGGAATCGACGGGAGCCGCTGCCCAGGCAGCAGGTGACACCTCCGCCAGATGCTGCGGAAGATGAGAAGCCCTATTAGTGCTCGGTCGTCCCCAGTTGGAGACCTTTGTGGGATACTCACCCGTCCTAAGGTGCTGCGGGCTTGGGCCAGGAATCGTAGGAAACACATTTCTCGAGGAAAACTCTGAAAAGCTGGGAAAATAAACGGTCCGGTTCCATATAATTCAACAGTTGCGCGTATCGATTCGAGGTGACATTTATCGATTGGCGAGCGCAAAAGGCTGAAAATAGCTTTAAAAGCCAGATGATCATTTATTGTTCGTATAAACTTAATATTCGTGCCCCTTGTGACGCAGGAAAGGAATATAATCTCTTGTTGTTCACTTTGTAAGCTTAATCACATTGGTTTTATTCCACATTCTTGATTGTTATCAGCTGCATCCACTTCTATGCCTTATCAGCAGTGTTTTAAATCGGCAGAGGTTATGCTTCGATCAAGTCAAATATATGTGGTACAAGCCTCGTTATTTTACGAATTTTCATATTATTTTTATAAATTCTTGACTAAAATTAATCTAGCGTATAATACAATTTTAAAATCTACCCAGTTTGGCGGCAATAAGCCAAATCTACCCATCACTACGCCAGCTGATTGTTATCGATAACAGCAGCTTGATTCAAGCCGTCATGGCGCCAGCTGATTCTTAACGTTTAATTTTAATTATAAAATCACAAAATATTAATACAACCGCGGCCGAAGCCCAAAATTAACCCCGGTCCTCGATCGCAGCACAATCTTGATGCTGGGATGCACATCCACGCCCATTGGAAGCAGCTGATAATGCCGCACCAGCTTGATCACCATGGTTTTTATCTCCAGCAAGGCAAACTTTTGGCCGATGCAGTTCCTCGGCCCTGCGGAGAAGGGTATGTAGCTGTATGGTCCCAGTCTGGCGGCCTCTTCTCCCAGATACCGCTCCGGTTGGAAGAGCAGGGGATTGACGAAGAGTGCCTCATTCCGAAGAAGTTGCCAGAGGAGTACGATTACATTGGTTCCAGCTGGGACATATCCTCCTTCTGACGTAATGACAGAGTAGGTAAGTATTGTGTGATCCAGATGCTTAGTCTTTTCACTCACCTATGGCCAAATCCTTTTCCATACAGCGTGCCACTGCCGGAATAGGCGGATACAGTCGCAGGGACTCCTTGACCACGCAGTTCAAATAGGGAAGCTCAGTGAAATCCAAGTGGTTTATGCCCCTGTTCAAATCCCGGCCGTAGTGCTCCTTTAGTTCCTCGAACAGCCGTTGCTGCACTACCTCATGGCGGGAAAGCAGGTACAAACAGAAAGACACCGCCGAAGTTGTGGTATCGTGGCCCTCAAAGATGAAGGTATTCACCTCATCACGAATTTGCTTGTCGGTCAGCGGTTGTCCGTCCACAGTGGCCCGCAAGAGAGTGTCCAGTAGGGCATAACGCTTCTCTGGCTTATCTTGTTGAGCCTCCCCGGCCAGCAAGTGGCGTCGCTGCTCTATGATTCTATTCGTGAACTGATGCAGGCAGTTGACCCCTGCTTGTTGCTTTCTGAAGCCACTGGGCCAGCATAGGCGGAAGAGCTGGGGAAATAAAAGATGCGGTCTCATGAACCTAGTGGCCAACACGTTCGTCAGACTAAAAAAAGATTTAAGGTAATGAATAGATAGCTTTAAAAAGCATGGATAAGTATTTAACCACCTACTCGTTTACAGCGTGCACCACCTCGGAATCCTCATCTCCTTGGGCGTCCACACTCACGCCCATAGCCGTTTCGGTAATGATGTCCAGGGCAGCCAAACCCACATAGGGATAGATGTTCACGGCCGAGTTGCCGTGAGAGAGGGGCTTTAAACGCTCCACCAACTTGGAGCTCTGCCTCTCGAAGACCTCGACAAACTGCTCCAATATGCTAAAGTGAAACGTGGGCGTAATGATCTTTCGCATTGTGTGCCACTCCTCTCCGCGGCTCAGGAGAAGTCCATTTCCAAGCCAACCGCGTAAAGCCAAATACATGGTGCCCTTTCTCAGCTGCTGCTGACTATGCAACAGTGCATCTACATGTCGCGGCTCCGCTGTAACCACAATTACGTGGCCCAAGACGGAACCCATGAAGCTGCTGCCAAATCGCTGGACATATTCGGCAAATTTCTCGTGAAGATCTGAAATAATTTCAGATTAATTAGGAAACTTAGAATAGGAACCACAACTTACTGTCTGGCTGAAAAGTGCGCATCTGCCAGGCGGATCCTACAAGAGGAACTCTCGACACACTGGGCACCACTCCACGCAAAGGATGTCGCAGTTCTTTTAAGGCCAAACAGAACAGCCAGGCCACCAGATGAGCCACCAGGAGAGTCGCCAGCAGAGTCACCAACATGTTTTAAACCTGCAGCGCGTCGTGCAGTGGTTCTAAGATCTTGAGCAGCCGGCAATTTTATCTGTAGCACTGCAAAAAGATTGCCTACTTAAGCACTAGGCATTTATTGCTTTCTGCTAATGTTTATATAAGCAACCCTATTCGAATAGGGCGCCTCTTGGTCAGAGCAAGACAGGGAGGTAGAACACCATGCCAAGCGAGACGGGAAATCCGCGAGCAAACAACTAGACAGCTGTTTTAAACAGCTGGTGGAATTAACCGGACCACAACATTTTTATCAGTCAAATGTAGAGTTGACACATATAGATAAAGAGACGACAAAGAACTGATTTTAATATTAAATAAACTACTGAGATAAAACTATCAGAGAAAATGGTTTTCTAATATATATATTATAATCCAATAAAAAGGAAATAGAAGCCTGAGCATGGTACATAAGTAGAAAGTGGCCTAGCATATCGTTGCGTCTCTTTCGCCAAAAGTAGTCCCACACAAGAAGTGTGGCGAACGCCACCAGGAGTAGCAGACCCAGATCTCCTAGAATTCTGCCGCGGATGACGAACGATTCACCATTGAACAGTACTATAAATAATACAATTCGTTCTTTATCTCCCGCGACGCTGGGTGAGTTCTAAATCTGGAATCCACCCCAGCTGACATTCGTAAAGAGAAACCAATGCCTAAGAGAACGTCAACCTAGTCTGATAATCTACTTTTTGCATTGAACTACTGCGAGTGCAAACAAACTCGACAAGCCTTTTTCGGTTTGTACTAACCTGGAGTTTATAGCCTAGTCACGATGATGGATAGTCTTTTTGTTGAACGATCATGCTTAGTCGAGTAATTAAAACTTAAATTAAGACCTCTGCAAAGGATAGAAATTTTAAAGTACAATTTTTTAAATGTTTAACCAACTTTGATCTTTTAAATTATTATATTATGTCAATTGTAAATATGATACGAGTATTATATTAACTAATTGTCTTACGTTCAGACAAAACTGGTAACATACATTGGATAACAATAATAAACACTATCCCAAAGGGATATTAAAACATCAAAAAACCATTTGATTAAGCCTTCTTATTTAAAAATAATCAGCATGAGTTTCAGATATACCCATCCAGTCACCATGAGACCAGCAAATGGTTATCAATAGCGAAGTTATTTGCTAGAGTAATAATACGTTTCTATCAGTATTGTTCTTGGATTAGCCCTGATTATTATAACATTGTTATTTATCGAACATATATCTTACTCTTAAGAATGCATTGATGGTTTTTGGTTAATCAAGATTTTCAAAATGTTCGGAGTAATCAATTCACCTTGTCATGCTTACTCAGCGAATCTAGGTAACTATTGGAAATAAATATGATACAGAGATAAAGATATAATAATAATAAAGATAAAAAATATAATAAAGATATATTTTTGGGGTATTTGGGAGGGGTGAGAATCCGGAGATTCTGAGTTACAGATTAAAGTAACAGAAGATAAAGAAGACATATGTACATTTTTAAAATGTTTTGTTATAGCGTTTGTACAAAAACGTTTAAATATATTAATACAGTTAAATAAAGTTTGTTTTAAGCGTAACGGATGTCGTTTAAAATCACCAATGGAACGATCGATTTGGTCTGATTAATTTTAGGTACTTCTGATAATTCCTTTTTTGTTTTGGTGGGATGAGGTTCGAGTTCAATAACAATGACCGCATATAGCACTTTTCAAATATGATAATATTCAGAGAGCTCTAGTTTTCCCTGTTATAGAATAGCATCCAAGCGCTTCTCTGATTATTTCCTAATCTCTTTTCTTTGATCTTAAATATTTAAGAGAGTCTAGCTTGAAGAGAGCTCAACGCATTGAGTTTTGAAAACCACAGTTTTCCGCATTGGAAAATCAAACTTAAGAATTGCATTTTATTTAAGACATATTTTTAAATGTATGTAATGTTACTTCATAGTTTCTAGACACTGTGATTTTAAATCATTGTGAATCCCAAATGTTAAGCCTTCGTTTATTTTTATGTTCTTTCTAACTCAGATCAATTCCTTGATGTTCTAAAGGAACGACAAGTTTTGAGATAAGCAATTGTTTGGGTATACAAACATTACAATAGAATCAAACCAACATCTAATTATACATTTGTTTTGTTTTTGGATCAACACGCTTGACAAAAGCTCCCGATCTAATCAGTTGTATACCCTGACACTCTAGTACTACTTAGTATGTTCAGATAATGCTGCAAGCGACTTTTCCCAGGCCCTCTCTCGCTCGTTATCCAAGGCAGGGGGCGGAATTGTTTCCATATCAATCTGAACTTTTAGTCTTCTGATAGGGGCAAAGTCTTGAGTCACGGTGAATGGAAATTTTTCGGTTCATTCATAGAAGAAGTGGGCCTCCACTTGGCGATCCTCATTGAGATGGAAGGAAGGGACACTCCTTGGCAGACACACCAACTGCCGGTTGGTCTTGACCCCGGTCGTAATTTTTGGCCCTCGCCTTGGTATTTGGCTCCAGTCCACTGATTGTGGTCGCCTTATCTCAATCCGTGTCGGCTACAAAACAGCTCCGCCACCGAGCAGAACCAACCAGTCGATGGCAAACAGTCCCAGCGTTAGATAGATCAATCCCATTTCCAAAACAGAGCCAAAAGAACAGAAACAGAACATGTATTTGGAGCTGATTGCGATTGTCCTGACGACCCTGTTCGTGTGGGATTACATGAAGAACAGGCGTCACAACATCATGTACGCCGCCGCTGGAATCAGTGGACCCAGGAGCTATCCTTTTGTGGGCATGGCGCCCATGATGATCCACGAATCACCCAAAAGTAGGTCATGGCCAGTCCCATAGGACTCAGTTTGGTTTTGAAATATGTGACTTTCCATCTGGAAGTGGAAAACCTAAGAAAAACGTTTTTTTTTAAGTGAACTCAACAAAACCAATTGGTTTTACCAAAAACAGACGTTTTGAGAATATTCACATTTTTAATCAATGGCTAAAATTGTTTAAAATAATAAACGAACTTCTTACTTTTCTAGCTGTCTTCGATCTGCAATTCCGAATGATTGCACAGTACGGTAAAAATATAAAAATGAATATGATGGGTGAACGCGGATTCATGACTGCCGATCCCAAAATGATTGAAGCCATCATGAGCAGCCAGCAGACCATTCAGAAAAACAATCTTTATGGGCTCCTGGTCAACTGGCTCGGTGATGGTCTGCTTATTAGCAAAGGAAAGAAGTGGTTCCGCCGCAGGAAGATCATCACTCCAGCCTTCCACTTCAAGATACTGGAGGACTTTGTGGAGGTCTTCGACCAGCAGAGCGCCGTCATGGTCCAGCAGTTGTACGACCGGGCGGATGGCAAGACGGTGATAAATATGTTCCCGGTGGCCTGTTTGTGTGCCATGGACATCATTGCGGAGACGGCCATGGGTGTGAAAATCGATGCTCAGCTGCAGCCGCAGTTTTCCTACGTTCAATCGGTCACCACGTGAGTACTACTACATAATATTCCTCGGCGAGTTTGCATTTACTAAAACCATTAATTTGTAGTGCCTCTGGCATGTTGGCTGAACGCTTCATGAATCCATTGCAGCGTACGGATTCCTTAATGAAGATCTTTTATCCCAAATTGCTCACCAAGCTGGGTGATTCTGTGAAGAACATGCATAGTTTCACCAATTCGGTAATCACTGAGCGTCGCGATCTTCTCCAAAAATCCATTGCCAAACCAGGAAACGCCAATGCAGACCTATTGAACGATGTGGGCCAGAAGCGTCGCATGGCACTGCTGGATGTGCTGCTGCAGTCCACAATCGACGGAGCTCCCTTGAGCAACGATGACATCCGCGAAGAGGTGGACACCTTCATGTTCGAGGGCCACGACACCACGACCAGTAGCATAGCTTTCACTTGCTATTTGCTGGCTCGGCATCCGGAGGTTCAGGCTCGCGCCTTCCAGGAGATTCGAGATGTCCTTGGTAATGACAAGTCGGCTCCAGTCACTATGCAGCAACTGGGAGAACTTAAGTACTTGGAGTGTGTGATCAAGGAGTCGCTGCGGCTGTTTCCCTCGGTGCCGCTCATTGGACGCCACATTACCGAGGACACCGTGCTAGACGGCAAACTCATACCGGCTCACTCTGATGTGGTCATCCTTATTTACCATGCCCAGCGTGACCCGGACTACTTCCCCGACCCGGAGAAGTTCCTGCCGGAGCGTTTCAGCTTGGAGCGCAAGGGCGAGATCAACCCATTTGCCTATACTCCCTTCTCTGCGGGTCCGAGGAACTGCATCGGCCAGAAGTTCGCAATGCTGGAGATAAAGAGCACCATCAGCAAAATGTTACGACACTTTGAGTTGCTGCCTCTCGGTGAGGACGTCCAACTAGTGCTGAACCTCATTCTACGTTCCTCTACGGGTATTAATTGTGGCATCAAGCCACGCGTCTATTAGGTGTTCCTGGGTAATAGTCTTTTTTTTTAAACTAGTTTTAAGTGAACTATAAATATTGCAATAAAATACTTGTACTTATGTAGATATATCCAGTGATGGATTGGGGTTTTTTTGCCCTATAAGTGGAACTAAGATGTAATTAAATTTGGAGTTAATTTCTGTTTCTCGTATTAAGCTAAAAGTAGGTTTTAAATTTGAATTTTACTTTGAGTTTAACTTGGGGGCGAGACAACGTGCGTAAATATCTTAACGGTTGATAAAATTGCATTTAAAGGATTGTGTAAGGGGATTGCTCTTACCATTGCAAGGAAAAGTCAATTAAAATAAATAACAGATCTTAGACATACCCTACAAATCTAACAGCTAATATGATTTTAGTATAAGTATTGTATACGGTTACCCCTCCATCACTGAATATATATCCTTGTACACACTCCGTCGATTTGAATGGATTCTATATTAGCTTTAACCGGCTCGTACTACAACTCAAAAAAAAGCGATTCCCACGGGGCTTTTAATCCCAGGCGAAGGTCTTGCCTGGAGTGGGCAGCTTGGAGGATGTGGTCTTCGCCGCCTCGCCAGCCTCCGCCGCCAGCTGCTTCTGCTGCTCCACCAGGTCAATGGGCGGGAAGACTTCGCGCCGGGCATCCCGCTGGCAGTAGTAGTTGGCCGAGACCAGATGGGATGGTCCTTCCGGGATTTCCGGCTGCGGCTGGGTGCGATCGGCCAGTCCGTCCTCGAAGCGCAGCGCC